ACGCGCGCGAATATAAAATATCTTTCCTTCATAATCAACCGATATCGACAGATAGCGAAAAACGTTCACAAATTAATTTTAATTGAGCTTTATTGCTGTCGAAACTTGGATTAATAGCTTAATTATACATTAAAAGTTAAACTAGCTTCATACAACTAATGTTTATTCATATTTCATCAACGTTAAATGTATTTTAATTTATTCTAAGCTATTGTTGTTACAGTGTTAAATTAATCAATGGTAAATGCACAGGCCTACAAAAATGACACTTTTGAATCCCCACCGAGATTTAAGGGTGTTTCTCTATGTAATTTTTAGCGCTGAATCCAAATCTGGCCGCAGAATTTGTCTAGCACGTCAGGATTTTGAGAGAATTGTAACGATTTTTTAATTTTTGGGCCGCCATATTTGATCAGCCATGTTGAAAATACAAATTCTAACTTTAAAATCTTAATCAGTGACCCGAAAAACCCTTTGATACAAAGTTCTGAAGAAATCGGTCTGAGAAACGTTCGGTGCTTAGGTACCAAAGAAAATTGAATTTGTTAATATTAAGTGTCCTACAGTTGTAATTATATTACACCATTTCGAAAACCGCGTATATGCATTTCCGTAGATTTTGTCATGAGAAATCCGAATCTGTTGACTAAATTAACGAGTATCATCGCGTTTCAAACTTATTTCCATCTGAAAATGTCAAAAAATGGCCTTTTTTGCACTTTTAAATTAGAATATCTCAAAATCCTGACGTGCTAGACAAATTCTGCGGCCAGATTTGGATTCAGCGCAAAAAATTACATAGAGAAACACCCTTAGATCTCGGTGGGGAAAATCTTGTAGGCCTGTGTTATAGAAAATATCACAATAAAACTTTAACTTTAGTTTGATATCGTGTACGAAGTGGCACGTGGAAATGTTGAACACAATCTGAATAAATTATTCGGTAAGCCTAGCCTCGTTAACAAATATAATAAAATCGCGATGTCTGTGCGTAGAACAGACGAAAGTTTCGTTTCACGCAATACCGCACGCTACGTATCAATAATTAAATTCATATAACATTTATTTTCCGAGAGGATTCGAGAAAATAAGGGGCGCCTCTATACCGGGCTCGGATCAATAACCCAGGAAAGGGAAACCCAAAGTCAATGGTGAGACGAAACAGCATTATTCCGAGTGTACTTGCTAAGTTTTATTATTGAGTCATTCTCAGAGCGCAAAACTTTCAAAGGGCCCAACCCAATCGCTCTTAGTTCCGTGATCACCGGGGGGATTTGCTATTGAAAGTGATTCTCAAAGAATAGAATTTCGAATCGAATGCCGGAGTTCGGGACATTTATTATTCCCCTGCATAATAGCGTGCATGATGAGAATTAGAACGACTGCGTCATCAGTTGTAAAAGAAGAAAGCCACGTGCATGTGCGCGCGCGTTTAAATTTAGAATATCTTTCCTCTAGGAATCGAATGATATCGACGGATAACGAAACATAACGTGTATTTCGTTACATTATTAATTCTTTATAACGTGATCTCTATCGTGCCCCAGTTTCAACAATTAGTATTTCGCGGCGATATTGCGTTCGTGTGGTTTCCCGGCGAGGCTGACCCGTTAGATTGCTAACGCATTTTGCCGAAATTTTGGTCGGGCAACATTTGCGATATCGCGCGATCGGCTACACCTCGAAGATTCGCACTTTGATTTTGACAGTAAATTGCAATTAATATCGCGTTTCTCCGATCGATGCGGCTCGCATTGAGTCGCGAGGTTCTAGACCTCGCGTACCTTATAGTCGGCTACATAGACAATGAGTGCTATCGCTGCGTATATTGAACTGGCATGTGGCGTTGCGGCAGTCGGTTGTGTGCCACGTCGATCGAGAGGTATATAAAAAAAACTAGTAGAAATCAGATATAAAGACTCACTTGCACGCAACAGTTGACTCTCGGTTGCTTTGAGCGATTGACGTGCCGTTATGCGCGAGAGCGCTCGAGAGCACGTTTTAAGCTAGCGGGTAAGAATTGGGGGGGGGGGGGGAAAACGCGATATTTTTTTTTCTTCGTTAGTCCGCGTGATTTTACGAAATGCGAAATCCAAGACGAACGACCGCGAGTTCGGGGGTAACGTGCAGCGACATCCGCAAAGCGGAAAAATTCGCGAGCTTGTATACCGCACAATTTTTTTTTTAGCATCGCGTATATAAGCGAAACTGCACGTAGAAGTTTCAAACGAAATTTTTTCCGAGGACGAATTCGGTTCGCGTAGATTAACGAGCGGATCGCTACGAATGATAGGTAGGATTGGGTAACGGCGCGTTCCTCAAATCGAAATTGTTGCGAAACGGAAATTTTCGAGAGAAATAAAAAGGGACGAGGAAACCGGTTATTCGTAATCCGTTTAATCGAATAAGATAGCAATGAAAATCGTAGAGACAAGCAAACAAATAAAGAGAAAGGTAATCCGTTAATTGTGTTGAAATTCTGAAGATGGGTCGCTAGCTTGACGGAGATCGTCTCGGCCTTTGTTTTTTACTCTACACGTATGTACCAAATCAACTCACATCCGTGTGAGAAGAATGTTAGCCAAACGGCGACTGGTTCAAAGCAACGTAACTGTTGTCACTCGTTTTACATCCCTATGAACTTTTTCCTCGTCACTTAAGACCGGTTAATTACCACGACTTTTAATTACGGGCAACGGAAAATGGAAATTGTCAGATAGAGAGAAGACTCCATAAATCCCTGCTCTTAGAGTATTCAGTACAATCGTATCAGGGTTCATACAGTCAACGTTATTTACTTATATGTCACGCGTATGTCACCTACTCTCGTCCCCTTTTCTCTAGATATAAGAATTAATGCAAAAGTCCGAGCGGGGTTCAGTCCTGTGTGTGTGCACGCGACATATCGTCCGGAGTGGCCGCGGGCGCTATTTCCGGGGCGCTGTTTTTTTTTTCCCCCGATATGACGGATACGGCTTCGAGATCATTGAGCAGAGAAAAACCGGTCGTTCCGCGCGATACGCTATAGAACAATCGGTGATAAACGCAAAAGCGCCGAATCTCGGCCGCGTGCTTTTTCGACGAACGGAAAACGCGTACGCGCAAACACGGATACACACACGTCCACGTACACGCGCTCATACGCACACACGCACACACGCACACACATACACGCGTACACGCACGCACACGGGTACACGCTTATATACGACATACAAAATGAACGCACGTCGACACACTTTAGATGGGGATCGAACGAAACTCGCGACTGGCGTTTTGACTTATCGTCAGATCGAGTTAGCTCGCCTCCTTGAAGGGGTAAAAAAATCCCCGGGGAAATTGGTGCCCGAGGAAATGGCTCGTAACTTTGATTAAATCTGTTATCGCGAGAACGTAAGCTTTTTTTTTCGTCGCAGACAAATTAAAGGAAGTAATTATTTTCTTGTATTCTTCCTGAAAAAGACGGCGTACTAAAATTGAAAGTACATGATGCGCAATAAGCTACAAAGTAAAAATATCCAGTTAAATAAAAATTCTCCTATAAATAAGAACATCCGGTAAAATCAATGAATGAACTGTCGGGCACATATTTGTATGACAAGACAATACGGTTATATGTATAAAAATAAGGTTGCGAGTTTTTCTATTTCCGCAAAGCATTCTCTGACGAATCTTACGATCGTGGGCTGTTTCGCAGGCACGTTGCTTACTGACAATTTTGTCAAATTCGACGGTTTTCTCTGAATTGATCCTTCAATACGCGAGTCAAAGTTACCCCTTTAGGAGCGTAGTAATCCGACTTGACAGTACCTTGGTTCACCGTCGAATGCGTGGATCGACAGAGCCTCACTTATGTAAGACACCAACGCCAGACATAAGCCAACCAATCAATCGCGAAATCCAGCTTTAGTGATTGAGCAATAGTATACATTCGCTCGCGATTGGTTTAAGGACTTATCACACAGTCTTATGTAATTGATTCCAATGTGGTGCCCGTTGCAAAGAGACAATGATCGAGACCGACCATACACACTCTGGATTCACCGTCGCGACGCACGTGCTCGCAAATGGCACTCCATTAATGTTGAAAAAGCCTTGAGCTTTAATATCAGACGTCATCAATATTATTGATCGACACCGTTGTACATTTGTTGTATGAATATAATATGATATACGTCTCTTTAGCGCTGATAAATAATTAAAATAAATTGCAAAATTGTTGTTGCGCCACGCGTTACAATATCGGCAATTACTGCAAAATTTAATATTAAATAAAATAAGAAATTCAATCGAGCCGCGTCCGGAATAAAATGGGAATCGGGGAAAATAAATTTGTATCAGTTAAAAGCGTGGCGAATTTAATATAGGACACTCGAGAAAAATTGGTACTACCCGCCAAGAGGCCGCGATTGCGATCGAATCCAGGGGGGAGAGGGGGGGGGAGGAAAACGTGCGGTCGTGAGTATGGATCCAGAGCAGCATCCGGCCGCCATATCCCCGGCTCGATCGTTCCTCGCGCGAGGCTTCGTCTCGGACACAAGAGCCACTCGGACCGGCCACTCGAAGCAACAATATAGGCTCGCCGGTCCGTAATCGTGAGAGTTTGTCGACCGAGGCTTCGAGGGAATAACCCAATGTTGACTCAACGAGACTACCTCGCGTATTCTCCTAATTGAGAACGCGCCATTTTGCCAACGCGAGTTTCCCGTCCCGCCGAATAAATAATTCCGTCGTGAATCCGTTCTCGATTCTTCCCCCTTCCCCCCTTTTTTTTCGCTTTCTTATTCTTCCTCCCCTTCACCGAATTGACTAGAAAAAATCCGCGAGAGACAATCTCGTAGCGCTTAAACGCCGTTCCTCGCTTCCTATGCGACTCTACGCGTCATCCCCATCATCGGAAACGTGCACTGCCAGTCTTCGTACTCGCCGTTTATCGTCCTAAGGGAGGGCCACCCTAAACGCGTTTTTTTTACCTCTTCCCCCCCCCCCCCCGGGGAGATTTCAACCTCCCAATAAATCCAAACCGCTTTGGCTTAGCCGTTATACAAATGTATTACCCGTCGATATTGTGCTGCCCAGACAATGACGTGGCCGACGCAGCGTATCGTCATCACTTCCTCGTCCCCGACTCGATGCACGTCGTGTGTATGCACTTCCTGTATGCACTCCGTGTGCGCGAGACGTCGCCTTGCGGTTGACGCGATCGACCGATCTTTCATTGCCGCGTTACACAGAATATTTCCAGAGGAAACGCCAATATTTTGAGAGACAACAGTGTCAGTCGTTGCGAGCGTAAGAGAATCTTGACGAACGCGTATCTAAATTTGCAGCCGCGACTCCCGCGAGACATTACCGCGTGCTCGAAAGTGCTAATCGTAAAATCTCATTAGCAGTCGCGATAATTCATGTATTGGGTACAAACAATTTCTACGGGTGGCTACCGCCTCACTCGCAACGGGCAGACACCGTCATCTTTCGAACGTTGACCATCTTTTCGGAGCATCCTGTACAAGTCGACGTTGTCGATATCGAACACTGGAGGCAGCCCTCGTGACTGGTTGCACCACACGCATCGCGCACAAGACATATCTCTCTCTTGTCGTTAATTCGCCGTCGATCGCCTCGAAGAGTCGCACCACTCGCAAGACGTCTGCGGGCGTTCGTTCGCGGATGGTTCTTGGAGAGAAGAGCCCGGTCATCCGTTTTCGCCGCGTCGCGGCTGCGAGAAGGTCGTGTTGATCGCGTGCGATGACCCTTAGCACAGTCAACCATGCGAGTCAGTTTATCGAGCGAAACGACGTAGACGATCCTCGGTGGCCACGATGTCAATCTATCGCGGTAACGATCCACGCGTTCGTCGACCTCTCGAAGGCTCCTCGCACACGCCTGGCATATATTCGATTCGCGTACTTGAGTTATGGCAGTCTTTAGGGGTGGGCTGTGTGCGTTGCTCGCGCCTCGTCTCGCCTCCGTGCTGTACCTTCCCGATTGCGGGGTGCTGTCGCACCTGTCGACCTGGATGGTATCGAGTTGATGTGAAAACTGTATAATTCAGTACCTTGGATCACTTATACGCGCGATCGCGAGCACGACGCTCCCGTCCAAGCGGGTCCGAGCACGACAATAATGGCGCGTTATCGTCGCTCATCGTCGCACTGACGCGATCACACTTAAACGCGAGAGACTCGTCCAACACATTTTTACTCCTGTTCACTACCGCCCGCCCGGCACTCGCGAGGACAACTCTGTTCTTTCTTCCTCGTGCCCCTCGTTCCTCCCTTAGCAGTCGGTGTCGTCCTCCTGGTGCCGTCTACGTAGCTCCAGATAACGGTGCCGGGCGTCGCAGTAATGAAGTAGCGGTACCTAGACGTCGGTGCCGGTGCCCTCCTGATAACCCTCGTCGGGCGAGCTGCGCGTGGATCCCAGGACGCGTTTCAGCGCCGAGACCGGCGGCAGCACCGGGACGCCCTTCTGCCAGACTCTCATCTGCTTCGCGCCGGGCGGGAACTGCTCGACGACCGGCGCGACCACCGCGAGCTGCTCCTTCGACGGGTACGCGTTCACCGGGACGGCGGACGTCCTGCCGCAGCTGTCCCTGGCCTCCCACAGGCAGCTGGTGTAGAGCATCTTGCCGGCGTCGTCCAGCGCTTCGACGCGGCCGTAATCGGCGACGCCGTAAGGCGTGATGTCCTCGGTGGAGCCGCGCCGGGTGTCTCTGATGAGGTCCGGATTATCGATCGGCATCAAGGACGCCGTCGACGAGAAACACCCGGCGCCCGTCATCGCCGCCACCGCGGGCTGATGACTCTGCTCGTCGAAACGGCTGATCGTACTGTATTCGTTCTCCTGCACCACGGCCGCGTGCGGTCTCTGCACGTAGCTCAGGTGCAGCGACGCGGGCGGTTTCGACTCGAGCGCGAACGACGTCGTCTCGATCTCCTCGTGTTTCCTGCGAGTGGTCGAGGTCGCGGACGAAGGGTTGTTGTCACCGCCGCCGCCGCCGCCGCCGCCGCCGCCGCCTCCTCCACCGACACCACCGCCGCCGCCGCCACCGCCACCGCTGCCGCCGCCGTTGCCGATACCGTCGCTGGACGCCGCTTCCATCGGCGCCGACGACTTGATGACGTCCTTCAGCGGCATTCTACGCAGACGAATAAACAGCACGAGGATGATGAGCAGGATGAAGAGTATGAGCACAACTAATGCGGCGGATATGCCCGCGATCTGGCCCGAGCCCAAAGTCGACATGCCCGCCGTTCTCAGGGACACGTGCAGGGTGAAATTCGCCTCGACGCAGCCAGCGGGATTCTCGGCGACGCAGTAGAACTCGCTGGAGTCAGCCTCCTGCGCGTTGGTGAGGATGAGGGTGCTCCGCTTTCGGAACTGACCCTCCTCGAAGATGAGGATCTTTTGATAGCTGCTGAAGGCCGAGTGATTGGTCAGCAGCCGGCCGTTCCAATACCACTTGACCTTTGCGGGCGGTACCGCGCTCACGCGACACACGATACTGGCGTTCTCGCCGATGGTGGCCTCGGCGTAACGGCTGGCTATCAGCAAGATCGGCCGGCAGGCGAAATCGTCGACACCGAGATCGGTGAAGGCACGATCGAGTAACTGCTGAGGCCCGTGGCACACGGGCGCCACGATGGTCGGCAGATTATGCTTCACCAGCCACGTCTTAATCTCGCGCAGGTGGCAATCGCAGATCCACGGATTCTCGTGCAACTCTATGCTGGTGAGCTTCTTGAGCGGCTCGAAGGTGCCCGACTGCAGGGTGGACAGTCCGTTGTTGCTCAGCTTGAGACTCTCGAGCATTTCCAGTCCGCGGAAGCCCTTGGCCTCGATCTCAACGAGCTGCGTATGCGACAGATCCAGCTTTACCAGATTCGGCGTGCTCTTGAACGCGTGCTGACGGATCCGCTTGATGGGGTTGTACGCGAGCACGAGATCGCGCAGGAACGGCGTGTCGGTGAAGCTCAAGCTCGGCACCGTCGCCAACAGATTGTTGCTGAGATCGAGCTCGACGAGATTCGTGAGGCCGGCCAGTGCCTCGCTGTCGATCCGGTCGATACGGCACTCGCGCAAGTAGAGACGCTGCAGATTCGTCAGCCGCACGTGTATAAATATGTTGTCCGGCAGGTGACAGATGTTGTTGCCGCTCATGTCCAGCACCTGGGTCTCCGGATCGATCCACTCCGGTATGCTGGTCAGGTCGCGATTCACGCACTCCACCGTGCGCTTCCCGCTCTTCCACTTGCACGAGCACTTGTCGGCGCAATTGTCGCTGGCTGCCACGCCGAGCACCGTCACCGCGTACAGCAGGAACACCGAGACCCCCATGATGGATCGTTATTGTCGTCGTCGTCGTCGTCGTCGTCGTAGCGAACTTTCCCGCGACTCGACTCCTCTTTCTCTTTCGCACTCTGCGCCTGGCTCTCCCGACGACACTCGGGATTCGCGCACGTCTCAACGACAGCGGAGAAGCGTCTTCCGCGCGGGGAAGCTTCTCGGGACTGATCTTACGCCCATCCTCCTTCCTTCCGTGTTGTCGCACTCTCGCGTATCTCTCGTTCCGTCCCTCCTCTCTACGCCTTCCCTCCCCAGCGATTCTTCTTCTACTGGCTGCTGCTCCTTTCGCACACCCCGAAATTTCTACGGAGCCGCCCGCTTTTCGGAGTCCTCGCTGCGCACTGTGGCCAACTACGAGGAGAATCGAAATTGAATGGACCCGTCTCGTCCATTCGCGGATCCTTGCCCAGCACTCCTCGCCGCTGCGGTAACCGCGTATCCGCCGCGTCCCTTCGTCTTCGCACTGCGAGCAGCGCGCGCTCGACGAGCCCAAACCACCGAAGACGTCCCCCCGGATTTTCGATCAGCCACTTCGTCGAGTATCCATTGGCGGCGTCATACGTGCGCACACGCGACCAGCACATACGACGTCACTACTAAGCAGACGAGCGGGCGGACAAGCCCTCGTCGCCGTCGCCGTCCCCGTCCTCGTCGTTCTTACGTAAATCCGCATCCACCAACGTGCACCACTTGCGTCGTCCCCGACGAGAAGCTCCTCGACGCCTCCGCCACGCCGTATCGACTGTAACCGCACCACTACCACCAGCGACGGCACCACCACCGCTACCACCAGGCCACCACCGCCACCACTCACATCACCGACCACCGCCGCTACTACGGAAGCACCCCTGATACCCGAATTCTCACGAGGTGCCCCGCCGTGCTAGCCGAGCGTAACGCTGCTCTCGTTGCGCGGGGGCCAACGTACGAGGGTTGTGAGCGTCTCCCCGATAGCGTGCCCCTCTCTCTCTCTCTCTTTCTCTCCTTCCCCCTTTCACCCACTCTCTGTATCTGTCGACATCTGTCTCTCTCTCTCTTTTTCTTTACGCTCCTATCTATCGTTTACGCGCGCGCGCGTTCCCTTGCTCGAGGGAAAAAACGGCGACGGCGACACCAGCGACGTTCGGCGTCGTCGTTGTTGAAATGCGAGACTGCGAAACCCCCGGCAGCGAAACAGAGAGACACCCTCTCGCGCGGCTTTCCTCTCCTCGTATCTTCATCTCGCGTCGCCCTCTCTCCGTCTCTCTCCCCGCCGGTCCGTTCGTACGTCCGTACGTCCGTACCCCGCCAACATCCCCGCGTTTCTACTCTCGCACCCTCTAGCACCCCCTCGCACCCCGTTGCACACGCCGGGCCGCTCGGGAGGGAAAACGCCGACGCGAAGTAGGGCGCACCCTTCTTCCGCTCTCGCTACGGGGTGGTCGAGAGAGAACGCGAGGGACAGCGGCGGGACGATGTCGGAACGAATTCACCCTTCGCGGATGAAGTTCGAATTAACTTAAAAAGTTTCAGGGGGGGTCTCAGGAGATTGGAGTATTTTTAGAATTCTTTCAACGGCAACGTGACGTCCGATAAATCGTGAAGAGGGATGAAATTTTCGCCGAGGCTGAACAAGACGAAAATTCGCCGGAGAAGACTGTTGTAGTCTGAAATTTTCACGACACCCCGTACATTAGACACACAAACACACGCGCGACCATCGTGATTCTATATCACCCCTCGTACCCTGCAATCGTGTACGTTCTCCAGCGTCCCGACGTCCACCCTCTCTCTCTCTCTCTCTCTCTCTCTCTCCTCCCTCTCGTTCTCGCTTTCCGTCTCATTTCCACCCTCTTCTCTCCCCCCCCTCCCCCGTGCTGCCTACAGATACTCTCCCTGTAACAAATCCCCACTTCCAACCCCCGGCGGCGGTGGTCGGCTCGTGCGCCCTGCACGCCGAGTCGAATCGGGAGCATTTCCACCCCCTACCAACGGTCGGGTAACCCCACCCTGGTCGCGGGGCGGGGGACACCTTCTATCCCTAAACGGGTATGACGGGAGGGGGCGCGCGCATATCGTAGTCGTCGCTATACTCGTCTCCCCTCTTTCCCTCCCACCGGCCCCCTCGTCCCCGTCACGAGGGCCTCGGCGCTCCGCGTCTCTTTATCCTCGGGAACTTTCTCCCCCGTCCTCCGGCCCCGGTCTGCCGATCTCGCCGCCGAATCCCGCACTCTCGACATATCGAATGCTACGTCACAGCGGGGAGATATACGGCTATTTCGCAAAGTGGTTAAATGCACTGCCAGATTACGGGGGCGGAGGGCGGCGGTTCCGGCGCCCGGCGCCCGGCGCCCGGCGCCGCTGTCGGCCCGACCGCGATATCGGCTACGGAATCGTAGAATTCCATCGTAGAATTCCGCCGGCGTGGCGAGCGAGATTCGTGGTCTCCTAAGATCCGCGTATTCCGGTCGCATACCCGACGCTAAACGCGTGCCTGCCCGATTCCCCGTGCCGTACAAATAAGCGACGTCTCATCGGGACGTCGATTAATTTCAACGACAGATCAATTGTCTCTCCCCGTCCCTGTCCCCCTCCCGCCCCCCTTCATTCCCCGTCGACGTTCGACCTCGCGAAAGAAACGCCGGAGACCGCAGAGAAGCGCGTTAGGGGGAGGATTCGCTTGGTGTTGAAAGCCGCGAGGGATATAGAGTATCCGTCGGCGATGAATTTACAGAGGAGGCAACAACAGAGAGACGGATATTTTATTCATCATCATTCGCCATAATTGAAAACAACTCCCCCCCCTCTCCTCCCCCTCCCCGTTCTTTCGTATCTCCGGACTCGGGGTGACACATCCCCAATCTGAGGGTCAACGGACGTCCCAGGGATCGGTCCTAAAGCCCGACGGCCACGCTTAGCGCGCTAAATGTGGCGGCGAAGATAGAAGCAGGAATACGGGTCAGAGTACGTCTCGTTTATACCTCCGACCCTTCCTCCGCGCAGCATCCCTGTATCCTTCCCCGTTCGCTATCGTCGCATTGTCGTCGCCTATATATTCGCGCCGGCGAGGATGTGTGTGGCATACGGACTCCCTCGACCGTACGAATCTCTCTTTCTCTTTTTCTCCCTCCCTCCCCTCGCCCCCCCCCCCTCTGCTCCCGCCACCCCGTCTCCTCGGAGAGTCTCGACCCTGCAAACGACTCGTGGAAAAATAATTCAGAAAATGAGAGAGCCACGACCGTAGAAAGATGGGATCCGGTTCCCGTGGCCGAGAGAGGGACGGGGAGGGTGGACGGCTGGATTTGGCTACGCGAGAAGAATGACACGTTAGCCGGCGGTGGACGAGACGGAGGAGTGATTCGTAGTGTGTCGTGTACAAATTCTCCCTGGAGGACCTCTTAGACCTAATTGGCCGTCCGAATCGATATCTGCTCGTCCGTTGTCGGCAAAATTGCGATGTGTTCCCCTCGCCCTCTCTCTTTCTCTTTCGAGAAAAAAAGAGGGAAGGAACGATTCAGAGTGACGAGAAAATAAATCTTACAGAATTGGCCCGGAAAGAGGGTCGTAGAATTGCGCTTTCTTTCGTCGTTTCATTTAGTGCGCTCTATGAAAATAAATAGAATTGACCGTATCGTTTTGTTTGTTTTAAAAATAGCGGCGAAATTGATATAAACGATTTGAATCGCCGGCCAGGGAACGGGGCCGGAGATGGGTATGCAAAAATGTAGGTGTTCTTCTTGAAACTTGATCGATCGATAGGAAAGATGAAAAGAGTAAACTGAAAACTTTAACCGTCTCGTTTTCCTCGATGTGCAACACATTAATTAGTGCGCTGAATTAATTTATCGGCAGAAAAAATCTTGGAGATTAAAAATTGTTTCAAAGTTAAAATTGAAGGTCTACACATTCCGCGAAGAGAAGCGAGAAGGAACTTTCGGAGACTCTTAACGCCCATGTAAATGCGTCGGACTTTGATCAAATTGAATAGAAAAAAATTACATTGCCCGTCCCGGGTGGTGTGAAAGCAAATCTCACTTTCGTCACTTTCCAAGCTTCGCGGTAAGATTGGAAACACGCATACAAACGACCGTACTCATCCATGCACTGATAGATCAGCGATTGAACAATTTCCTGCGATAAAACTGAGCCGGGAGTGACAAAGATAAGACGTGGAGAAATGGACTGTCTGAAGAGTATGAGAACGCAGAACGTGATGAAGGTGGATTCGTTATGGGTATTCGCGTCACGAAGATAAGGGAAAAAGGGAGAGTCGATAACACGTCTTCGGGCGCGATGCATCCGTGGTGGCACGGCCGAACGACGCTATTTAAGCGACTACTTAAAATCAATAGCGGCCCAACGTTTATATCGCCCCAAGGGTCTCTGACAGCATAATTCTTATGCCCTCTTCCCCGCCCATTCTCCCTGAACCAAGTCGGCTTGTTCTTTACGTGGATTCTACCCTCCGCAGATCCTCCTCCTTTGAAAGACCCGCGGAAGATCGCGTGGAATTAGAGAAGCTCACAATAACGACAGTAGAATCAAAATACGATGCCTGTGATATTGAAGTATCGGTGTTTTATTTTCGATTGCGAATGCGTTTGATACTCTTTCGCTGACGGCTCGATATCGAGAAAGTATCCATCATTTGATTTTATGCATATTAAAAAATTCTTTTAATATTAACTCTAGGATCTATTATTTTCACGAATGGCTCGTGTCGTTTACATTCAATTTGTTACCGTATAATTTTGGGAGGATGCTGCAAGTATTGGTTCTCGCTGATACTCCACGCCAATCCACTTTTAAATTGTAAAATCAACATCAGTTAAAACGAGAACAATAGTATCTTTACCTTGACACGAAATATTGTTTATTATATTTCGTTTGATATCGATTATCTGATAAACGCATTAAACGTTAAATGCTAAGTAGTATTAAATGTGATTAGAGGAAAATGCATACTTCGTCTAGCAACAAATTAATGTGAGCCGTATTATAAGGATACTTCGATATCTCCATGTAACGTCGCATTTGACGTAATCCGCTTAAACGTGCATTAGCCGCAATAATCCCCGGATATACCTACAAAATATATTGCGAACCGTAACAATAAGTGCCCGCAGATGTTTCGAAATACGAGTAAATAATGAATAGACTTCGGTAACAACTTTGTGGATGGCAAGGTACATGCAGAACAAATTTCCTTCTCTCTTACACGTTTGATACTTCAATCCACCTATTGTGTCAATTTGCAAACGATTGTATATTGACACAATTTCAAAACAATTATAATTAACTTATTAATGGTATAGTAAGATTACTTGAAACGCTCATTCGATAAAGAAATGCCTTAGAAAATTTTAAAATGCAGGATGTTATTGACAACGTAGTCTTGAAAATTCACCTTGTTTATCTAATAATCGCGTTGAGGCCACATGAGAGAGGATCGTCTTACATGAGAGGAAAAAAAGCTTGGGAAGGTGGAATCTTATGACGTGAAAAAAGATATCTCGTGTATTATGTGTACTGAAACAGAATTTTTATTAAGGGACGACAAATCTGCTGTTTTGTCCCTTAAAGAAAACAAATTTGACATACGATTTATTAGAGTGGGTTTGAGCCAACAGAATGGCGAAGATAAATAAAAAAAAAATTCTTTTTATAGTCACGCGCAAACCCATCTTTACATTTTAGAAAAAGAAAATTGGTAATGTTTCTTGGAACAAAAAACTGTTGAGTAATTTCGTATTATACCGCTTAGATTATTTCCGATACGATAAACAACTAATAGGAATTATTGTCTTGACAAATGCACATAAAAATCAGAAATACAGAGAGAGTATTTCATCTGCCTCCAATTACGCGTGAGCCGCGAGTTATTTGTAAACAGATTAGCAAGCTGCGCAAAACCGCGAAACAAATTTTGCTACGTATCCATCCAGAAACGCATTTTCATTAATTGTATAATTGCCATCAATTGTAAAATACAAACATAACGAAGTTGTTTCTAGAAAATAAGAGGAATTTCGCAATCTTATGCCGCTTGCAATTTACAAATAACCGAAACTCAGATCTCAACGTCACAAAATAAATCGCTTCGTTAGATAGTGTCGAAAATTCTTCGTTCATATCTCGTTAATAATAGCAGCAATAATATTAATAATATAATGAAAATAAATCGATCTGTTACATAGTGTCGAAAATTCTTCGTTCATATAATAATAGCATCAATAATATTAATTATACAAAGAAAATTGTATCACATCACAGTAGCTGATTAGATCATTCCCGTTTACATTATTGGTTCCGCAATTTTTGGTAAACAACACGCGTATGTAATAATAAGTTCTTTAACAAAACGTAAAGTATGAATAGTCGATAAAACTGATATTGTTTCACATTTTCGAACGAATTGTACTTTTTTTTGGTTTTTTTTATATTTCATAAATATTGGAGATCTAATTCCAATATCATTAATCGAGCTGCGTATGTTATTCGAACGCGGAAAGATTGTTCGTTTAGATGTTAAACGATACGATCGATTCTCGGTTCGTTTGTTGGGAATGTGCTTGCACGCAGCTCGCCGCATTGGGTTAACCCCAATGGAAATAATTCAGGCGAAGGTACGAGATGCGCTGTTAGAGAGCTCGTTCTCTCAAGATGTTCTCCTTCACACTTACGATTTAAATCGTAGACATTGAGGAGTAGAACTTACCCTCCCCCGGATGAGATTGGGGAGAGTCCTCCACAATTCTCGCATGTACCCGGATGTTAACACATTTACTTCCGAAATCGTATTTCTACGTCGTACGAATTACATTCGCTTACTTTCATATCAAGGGCACTCCTTGTTATATCCAAGATTGATTGCTGGAACCGCACTTGAATATACCTCATGCATCAGACGTAAAGACGTGGTAAAAGATGTCAAAGTAAAAAATATTTACTTTGGCAACTTGCAGCCGCGAAACGCATACTTAGTAACTTATTTCCCAGCATTTTTATCGGAAACGGATACTTGTCTGTAATTTAGAAAATAGGAACGGCAATACACAGGTGCGGCTGCAAGAGCGATAAAGATTTATAAAATTACCACGTTCTTCAAGTCTGATCACACAACATTGCTAATCAATGTTTCCTCCTCTTTTTTTTGGATTTTTTAAGCCCACTTTTTTCTAAGTTTATATATCTCGCATAATCATTCTTTAGAAAGAGTCAAATACAGCGCGCAATTCTGTAGATTTTTAATATCAATGGACGATTTTTTGTTTACAAGTCTTTGAAATGTACAAACATCGAGTATCGATAATTTTAAGATCAGTAAGAATTTTCAGTTGGAGATAATTTTTGATTAAACTAGAATAGTTTGTAAAATTTTTATAAAATGAAACAACTCTAATGCTTGCTTATTAGCACGGGCCAGTTGACTCTTTCGAAAGTTGAATAAAATACATTTCGCAAAATAGACTCCATAAAATGGATCTAACGTTTCCAATTATAGCGCAATAAGACTAAGTATTTTCTTCTTAGTCTACGTAATGTTTCCAAAAGAATTTTTAAAGAATCGCCATAAGCAAAATAACAGGAGAAGCAAATAGAGTAAGAGTAGATTTTTGTAGTTTGTAAATGGGAGCATTTCGCAGATTAGATCGTTTGGCGAAACAATTGTTATTACATCGGACCCATTTACGTTTGTATATTAAGTAGATAATAAAATGAACGGGGACCGTAATATTAGACTATGACGCAATCGTATGCGATTCCGATCGACCAAATTAATATGCAGTGGGCGACAGATCATTTGATCGACAAGATCGCATATTAGCTTAATTTAATACAGTGCTTTTGCATTAACAGTGACACAAAAAAAGAACTCAATAAATTATCAAATCGTAGCAGATATAATTGCTGGTCTTTCGGTTTGCTCTGGTTGTTCATTTCGTATGTAGTTATCGGAATAATCATTATCTGGCAGATTATTCGTTATCTCGGTTAAGTAGAAGACAGCGTTCCGAGTAGATCGGAGATTATTCAACTATAATGGGCATTATCACTAACAAAGTTCTCACAATATCACCACTGACTTCTTGCCCGTATTCAATATTCATCTGCCCGTACAGTAGTTACGTCAGTAACTAAACACGTTAGAAAAATTTTGCCGAATCGAAGACAACTGAAGGAGCAAAGAGAAATGTAAAATAGAAGGACGCGTAACGATTGTTGAGTATGGTACATCGTATTTCGACGTATTTCAGTTATCGTATCACCTTCTGCTTCAATAATCTTTGCGCGATTTGTTATGCTACATTAATTTATCTTCCTTTCACCCAGCCGCGCAGGAATCACGAATGCATGTGTATAGGTCTGCAAACCGAATAATAAATTGCAAATCTAATTATCTTGCAACTTGTAACCCGGTTGTGATTATTTTGCAACTTATTATCCGGTGGCGATTATTTTGCAACTTAAACTCGCTTTGCAATAAACCCGCGGTAAACGATTATCTTGCAACTTATAACTCAATTTGCAATAAATCCGCGGTAAACAAAAGCGGTAATCGCGCGAGGATCGTATTACGTTTACTAAGGAATTCTTCTTTCATGTTATATTGACGAGTCAGATTTATGGCGTACGCGATCAAGAATGTATACATTTCCAAAAATCGTAGAGTTGTACATACATGAAATGAATTACATCTCGTAGGACGATAAGAGAAAGCCCGTGATAAGCTAATTCGCGAGTATGATAACGCATATTAATTTACACATAATCGATTATCAATAATTGATTATCACACACATATTTTACAAAAATGCGTATCTATCTCTCGATACTTAGCTGGCGGAGCTACGATGGTATATTTTACTCTACGAAAATGGAGACCCGCGGAATGTATCTCGACTCGAAAATATACTTAGAACTTGCGTCAAACTTAAGCCATGCACTTAATGTCGCTACGAACGAAAATTACGCATATTGGCAGCGAGCATAAACGACTAGTCCAAGTCAACGTTCTGTACATACTCTGTGCCATATCCAATTTCCTCTCTTTTTTTTTTGTGTCAACAGTTATTTCATTACTGTTTATCTATTATCTACAGTTTCCGATAAGCTCACAGTTTCTGATATTACAGTCCTAAATACATTTTAACCGCCTTCTATCACCGTTAATATTTCATTCAAAGAGGATTCCCCTCAAATATGAAATATTTTGGTATCGCATATTGTACCATGTTTCGCATCCAAAAACCTAAGTCATATTGGCTGGTGGCTATCGAATTCTTAAATTTCACCTTGTCATGCATACCAAACCGTAAATTTCTTGCACATGTTTTTACTCTTTCTCGTGTTTATCCCACAATTTCATGAAGATTTCGAGATTCTATGTCGCTATTACCAATAATATTACCATATTACGATAACTTTGGCAATTATCTTTTTTTTATCTTTCACGAGCGAGTATTTTATAGTGTACCATACGTTCACATTCCTGTGTGAACTGTGTCAGTTACTCATGTGCATTCGCTTGCAATCCAACTGTTTCGCATTTTCCAATAATTTTAGTAATAAATCCCCACAATTTGTTAGCTCTCTATTCCAGCCCCGATATACCGTTGTTGTATGATCAAACATATGTTTAACATAGGCTGCGATTGGCCATACAATCATCATCATCAAGCATTAGCCATAGATAACCTTCGCCTTTTTATTGGGGAGTCCACCAGCCAGTTCTTTATAAAAAATAATTATATAAAACTAGTCAATTATACAATCTCTGATTCTCAATCACGATATATTAAAAAGAAAATCCAATTGCATTAAAAAAAAGAAAAAGAAAATTCCATTAGTGGTTGAACAAAAAAAAAAGATAGTTTAAGCATTGCCAAGTGATTTGAATTTCAGAGTTGTATGACAATATTGACAGATAGCAAAATCAAGCCATGATCAAATATTACAACTGATACTTAATATATCCAAATTTTATAAATTGCTAAGGGCAATTTATATACTTTTATATATATATTTATATATATATACACACACGACCTTATTGGTGTTAAGGACAATTTATATATGTATATGCACGACAGTACAAAAGTAATGAGCACATGAATTAGTATGCTGTACTCGGTGAGATTGGCCGATAGATTTTCTAAATTATATATGCCCCTTTTTCTTCGTATCACTTAACAGAAGAAAAAAAATACTGGAAGAATGAAGCCGTTGTATAAAAATCTTCTATTAAAACGATGTTGTATGCTCTCGATGTAATATTTACAGTTATGATAAAATGCAATGATTGATTATTATGTTATTCACATATCTGTTTACATATTGTGCATCTTGATAATGGCTTGACTCTGATTTGCTTTAGCTTATGTACATTTAAATGTATTTATGTACAAAGAAATGATTTCGGATTCGCACCATCACTGCGCGACACTTCAATCACTCAGCTCATTATTACTCATACATAGTACGCTGTATTTACAAGTACACTCACTCTTTGACACACTAACACACACACATTAAACTCTTTGAGCGTGTGTGATGCTTCATTTTACCACAGTGCATCGAAACTACTTGGACACGTTGCCTTCTTCCATACTATTATTGTCTTCTGGTCTCGCCACGTACAAACTGGGGTCTATCACCTTTGGGATAGGTTTAATTTCTGTTCCAAGCTCTTGTTCGATACGGTGTAGGTTGAAGCGATCTTCATACGTGATTAGGTTAATTGCTATACCTAAGTGGCCGAATCTTCCAGATCGGCCGATTCGATGCAGATATGTCTCTGCCATCTTCGGAAAGTCAAAATTGATTACGACGTTCACAGCTTGAACATCAATACCGCGAGTAAATAGATCACTGCTTACCTGCAAAATAGAATATATATATTCAATTAAACATATTAGTCTTTAAAAAGATACAGCACAATTATTAAAGATAACATAATAAATTATACAGATACTACATACATATGTATGTATATCTATATCTATCTACATATATATATATATATATAGTTTCAAATGTTTCTAATATATTAGGAATGTTATAAAACAATCAACTTACGAGATTTCGGCATAATCCTGCACGGAAATCATGGAATACGCGATTTCGGTGTGCCTGCGCCATTTTCGCGTGTATATAATAACAGCAATATCCAAGGTCTGTTATTTTCTTAGCCAGCAATTCGACGCGTTGCGTTGAATTACAGAAGATTATGCTTTGCGTTATTTGTAGCTGCAAAAGTAATACAAAAATTAAAACTGGTTCCAGCTGTAGTTGTGTTTGTTTAATGACATCAGAAGCGATGACAATTCTTCCTGTTACTCAAATAAGATATTTCGATGAAAAAACATTTCAAATCGTTTTAGTACACTTATAAAATTATTCGAAAGCTATTCTTTTCCTTCGACCGTTAATAAACAGCCGTAAAAAGAATGTGATAAAAAGCCTAGTCAAGTTGTGCCCGCATGAATAAGTTTCGTATCACATTAATTTTTACAGCTGTTTATTATTAACTGTCAAAAAAAGGGATCTTATTAATTCATTAAAGTGACCCTAAGTATTTCTTCATCCAAATATCTTCTCATTTGAAAAAGACACGCAAGAATTCTCAACGTGTCATTAAACGAGAATTGCAGAAGAAATTGAAAGCCTTAAAAAATACATTTACTTCAAACGAAAAAAATTTATTATATCCATTGATAAAGAATTACGCAAAATGAAAAATTAGTTGTAGCCTTGCCTTGGAGAATAGCGTGTTAAGGCAGTGAACTTTTTGTCGTTCCTGTACAAAAGCGTAATATTGTGTTACGCCTTTCAAAGTCAACTCTTCCATTAAATTAATCTCATATGGATCTTTCAAGTGTTTTTCCATAAATTGTTTCACAGTCAGAGGAAACGTAGCTGAATACAGCAAAATCTGACGTTCCTGTGGTAATCTAGAAGGAAAATAACACAACTAATAAATATCGCGAAATAATAAACAGCAATGAGTGATATAAATGGTTATTTTCAGAGTAATTGATAGGATTATGTTGCACGCGTGGTATATATCACATTTCTGTAATATTAGTTAAAAAAATTGTCAGTTTTAATAATATCAAATAGAAGATATGGCAACAATATCTGTTAAAATTACGAGTGAAATAAATAGTACAATTTCAGTGAATTTTAAGCGAGAGTCAATTAAAGTTAGTCATTGATTAGTCAGTTTGGCGCACTTGGAAATGCAAATATATTGCATAACATGCCTCAGTAAGACACGTTTCACATTTTTTAAGCGCTTTAACTAATTTAAATGCAGCGTTTTGCATTTACGAGCGTACAAAAGAAGCAAAGCGTTGGGTGAATAGTCAACCTTAATTGTCTCTCATACAAAAAAAATATTGAACTTGACATTTCTCTGCACAGTTCCTCACGGTTATCCACCTACCGTAAAAGGAGCGTGTGGTTAAACAAAGAAATTGTGTGTAAAATGAAACGTAATACTTTTGTACAAGCACGCACCTCGATATTACGTGATCCAACATTCCCTTGAAGTCTTGCGACAGCAGTTTGTCTGCTTCGTCCAAAACTAGAATTTTACAGTGCTCCATATTTGCCACATTCTTATCCATCAGATCAAGGATCCTTCCTGGCGTCGCGATTATCACTTGTACTGAAAGCGTAAATTGCAAACGCATTGTACATTAATTGCAATTTATCGTTAGAAAATTGTACGCCTCTAGATCTCACTAGATCTCACCTTTTTGATAAATCCTCATAATGTCGTCTCGTAAGTTAGTTCCTCCAGTTGTAACCATAACTTTTATATCCATGTGCTTTGCAAGTTCGATACAAATTTGCGATGTTTGTAGGGCTAACTCTCTTGTAGGCACAATTACCAGTGCTTGGATTACGTCCTTCCTTGGGTCAACCTGAAGTAGCAGTGTAGGACATTGATAAGCGCGCGACATTCAAAACAAATACTCTCTTATTCCCCCCCCCCCCCCGAGTTAACACCATCGTACCTGTTCCAGCACTGGAATTGAGTACGCTCCAGTTTTACCAGTTCCATTTTTCGCTCGTGCCAAGATGTCCTTACCAGAAAGTGCAATGGGAATACTAGCTTCTTGGATCGGTGATGGCTTCTCCCATCCCTTTTCGAAAATTCCCATGAGTAATTCACGTTTTAGGCAAAACTCTTCAAACTCGTTACCACGTGTGTCGGTAACATCCTGCAAGAGTAGATTTCTAAGTAAATTTCAACACGGGACCCTCGAGTGCTCTCAAGGTCTTTGTCTGCAGTCAATAGAAAAGTTAATTATGAAAAGATTTACTGAAATTACTTATATTGCGAGAATTACAACTCAAACTTAAAGATGTAAAGTGTGTTATTATAACACCAAGAATTATTTGACGCCAGTAAATGACCAACAACGATGAAGCTTCTAATCGACCGTAACAGCCGCAATCAATTTTCTGCGTTAGAAACACACATCGCCAGTTGTGGCCGATTAGAAGCTGAAATTATACTTATTGTACATTTATATTAATTTTTTTTCCCTCTTAGCAACTTAATTTGAAACAGTACCCCACTTGTTCAACGCGATTCGTCTTTTCGTATTGTAACTCACACTTGTTTTTATTCTTTTATCCTTTGGTGGAATTTTTAATTTGGCTTTCCATCCCACATCATCCATTTTTTCTATCTCTGATTTGTTAGACAAACCAGAATTCAACATATGATTGGAGTTCATATGCGTCTCGGTCATCATTTTGGAAATATCGTAGTATATCTACTATCTTTTCCCTGCAAAGATAAAGAGACAGAGACGTATCATTAGCTGTGACTATGTACAATTACACGTATAGCTAGCAGGTATCGCATTACTCTACAATGTCTTTGTGTACTCCGCGTAAAGTCGCACGCACAAATAGAGCTTTAATATCTAAAGTCCCACACAAATTTCACAAAGCTCTCACGTCGTACAAGATTTTACACCGGTGAAATATTATATAGTCATATCACAACGGCTCCGAGCCTGTGGGCATATTCCAAAGTACGTGCCACTGGGGTCTGAACAGGAAATCTGAGCGTCTGAACGAGACCAAACAAAATTGACCTACGGTGACTGTGTATGCCTATAGGTATCGTGTTTGCCGTTACGAGTATACGTTCGAATGTGCCAAGTGTTTTTGCGTGTTTGGGATATAGGCAGCTGCCATGAACATTCTGTAGATGGGACAGTTGACTGTTGTGCAAAAAAATTCGATCTCCCCGTCGCTCGTCGACTTCCAGTGGACGCGAAACTTACATAATCAGACGAGAACCGTGCAAGAGTTGCTTTGTAAAATATATTATTTACTTCGACAAATCGTTATTCCCTGGGGGGGGGGGGGAGGGTGGAGGAAGTAGAATCACGCGAGCTAGTTTGAAATCGCGAAAGAAAGGCTGCCCGAGTGAGACCCAAGTTTTTCGTACAACGGACGCCAAGAAAGAGAAAGAGAGAGAGAGAGAGAGAAGCGAGGCTCGCGTAGCTATCGAGATATAACGCGTGGAATGCGCCTTCCAAGCATTACTCATGGCAGCGGGGCGAGACAAAGGAGGAATCGTGGCACTTGGGACTTTATCTCGTTACATCTCTCGGGGATGACGAAATTACCGTTTCGAAAGTTTGGGAATTGGAAACGGCGGGCGGAGGAGGGGGGGGGGGACGTCGGTAACAGCCGGCCGATCGCGAGCACGCGGTGCGAGCAACGGAATTCCATCACGGGGGGGATTTCGAACGTTCGCGCAACGGTTTCGAACCGTCGATAACGGCGGCCGCGGGGGGATTCGCGAGTTAAATTTACCGTGGCCGACTCGCTCCGTTTCCAACGGACTTTTCTCTCTCTCTCTCTCGCACTTTTTCAGGTCAAATCGCGACCGGGCGACTCGGTCTCGGGCGACTCGACTCGGCCTGGCGGCGGCCGGGGAAAAGTTCCTGGGGCGGTACTCCGTACTGCGGGGCCCCGCGGCGCGGCGACGGCCGGCCAGTCGGGGGGACGGGGGGACACGCGCGCGCGCTCGCGCGTCTGGACGACGGGGGAACAATGGGGTGCGGGAGCCGCACGGGCGTACGCGCACACGTCGCCCGCGTGCTTCTTACCTTGAAAACGAGTGGACGTCGATGCCGTGGTGTGTATACGTGTGCGCGCCTCGGGCACTCGATGCGGTGGGAAACAACACGCCAAAATGGCCGTTCTCCCCCAATGTCAATGATTTCGCCGGACTTGTCGCAGCGCCAGTGACCGCGTCGGAGCACCGCCGTTCCTCTTCTCCCGTTCGGTGCGATGCCGCGCCGCCTGCTTCTCGCCGCTTCTCTTCTCTTCTCTCCTCTCTCTCTCTCTCCTCACTCTCCTCGCTCTCGCCCTCACACTCTCTCTCGCCCTCTCTCACTCTCTCTCTCTCTCTCACACACACTCTCTCTCTCTCTCTCTCTCTCTCTCTCTCTCTCTCGCTCTACCTCTCTGCCGCTTCTTTACTCGTTACGCTTCGGGAAAAAAGCGTTCTCGTGTATAACACGCGGTCCCGACCCTCAATCTCTCGGTCTGTCTCTGCGACTCGTGATTTGCGTTCCGCTTGCGGTATCTCGAAATCTCGACTGATGCACTGCGTCGAATGCGAGCGACGATTATTGCTTGTTCGGTGTACACGATCCGCACCATGAAAGAATGACGGCAGCGAGACGGCCGTGCCACCGCGGCGTCCCGTCCCCGTACCATCCCCACCAGGCGTCGCCTTAAGGCGGTGCTCATGGCGGGCTCGCGGCCCGAATACGGCGCGGGACGCGCCGGCGACACCGCCGTTCGCGCCTCGACGCGCCGCGCCGTCCGCTCTACTCCGTTTTCAACTCCATCCGCGATCGCGCGCGTCCGCCGTCTCGATTTCGGACCGCATTACGCAAAACGGCCGCGAAGAACACACCCGGCGGCCATTTTGTGCCACCTCGACACGCCACGTGGTTCGAATAGTACGCGACGACCCGACCAATCAACGCGTGCCAAGTATCAGAGGGACGCGTCGCTGTTAAGACCGAAAGCTGCGTTTACACTGCCCTAGTTTACGTCGTACGCTTGACACGCGTATTAGATACAATAGTAACAAATAGTAAATTGGTTTAGTCATTGGCTGGTCAATTTAAATACGCTATTTGATACGCGCGCATGATGTAAATTAGGTCATTTAGTGATGCAAGATTCAAGTCGCTGTCACAATGGGTGCTTCCGAAGAAGCCCTCGGGGCAGCTCGGGATTAGATTTTGGTATAGTGTACGTGACGTAAACTATACCTAAATCTAACTCTGAGCTGCCCCGAGCGCTTCTTCGGAAGCACCCAACGTGGGGATGTGAAGGGGTGGTTCTCATGTTACCCCACGCTGCTTGACTATTTATTAAGCCCGCTGCAGACGATGCTATTTTTCCTGCTGGATTGCTTGCGATCTAAAGCCCGCTGCAGACGATGCTATTTTTCCTGCTGGATTGCTTGCGATTTACTAAATTACTAGGAATCCTGAGTGCTGAATGGTGCAACGATAGTAATTTATTAGATCGCAAGCAATCCAGCAGGAAAAATAGCATCGTCTGCAGCGGGCTTAATAAATTACTATCGTTGCACCACTCAGCACTCAGGATTTCTAGTAATCTACTAAATCGCAAGCAATCCAGTAGGTAAAATAGCATCGTCTGCAGCAATCACAAGCGAGAGTGAGGGGAATACATGCCTGTGATTGGTTAATTTCTTGCGGCTCAAGGCTTACAGCTTACTTAAAGCAATCCCGTTAATAAAATTGCCACGAATACTCGACGATACGAGGATCGAAATTTTATTGAGGAACATAACATTTATTATTCGCGTCAAGTACAAAGCGTAACGTATTGGCTTTACATTAGTACAGTGATGGACAGGATGGTTGCAATAGTTTAGGAACTCGAGAAATAGATCGGCTAAAAATGGTTTTGGAATGGCCATCGAGTAAAATATTCCTCGGAGAAGATTTTGAAACATAACCCTTAATCTCAAAGCCCGAACACGCGAAAAAACTCAAGCAGTAAGACTTAAAACTCAAGACATAAGAATTTCAACCAATCAGAATTTTCAGCGTGCTTAAATTTCAAAATGGCTGCTTGCGTTCTCGACAGCCATTCGTCATTTCTCTTAAGTCTCAAGTTTTTTTCGTGTGTTCGGGCCTTCATTGGTCATTTCCTTCAAGTCTTAAGTTTTACTGCTCAAGTTTTTTCGTGTGCCAGGCCTTAAAGGCATGTTCCTAAGCTCATTTAAAGAAAAGTGTCGCAACCATTTTGCCCATCACTGTACAGGCGCGAAATACAAATCGTCGGGAGCGACCTTGCCAATCGCCGGTAAAGTTCTCGCCGCGTCGTTGCCTTGTACCGTATTCACGGGCAGGGGGGCTCCTTCTTCTGGGATATGCGGTACTTGCGACAGGCCTCCGGACAGTGGCGTTCCAGATAGCGCCTTTGCGAAAAGGCCTTGAAGCACACGCCGCATCGCCACTGCCACTGATGATGACTGCGCGTTCTTTGATGTGCGCGAAGATTCGAGCTGCAACGATACCAAGAGATTAATAAATCGCGCAGCCACGGCGTCCCTCCATAGCAATCAATACTTCAAACGACAATCAAACAGAATAGAATAAGAGTACATCGCAAGAATCGCGCGTTCTCGACTTTCCCACAAAAATTCCAGATAGCAATGCACAATATATCTGAGATTTAAATCAGATATCATTTCACCGGTCATATTTTAAGGACATCACATTTCTGATATCGCGTTTAAAAAATTATCGTTTGTTATTTCAACCTTTTAACTTTTGATCATAAAGTTTTTGTTTTTCTCTCTGAAACTCAATTCTTATCACTTCAAACGGCAATTAAGTGAAACAAGAGTAAAATGTGCATCGCTCTCTACTTTTCCGAAGATGCTTCGGTAGCTCTCGTTTATTTCAATCGTTTGCTTTAACTTCTGTTCGAAAAGTTTCTGCCTTTTCTCCCCCAAAATGAGATCGAGTCTTGACGGCAATTTCGAACAGCAATAGAGTAAAACAAGAATAAAATACGCAAGATTATCGCTTTCTATTTCCCTGAAGATGCCTCGATAGCTTCACCGAGCTTTCGCTTCACCCCAACGGTTTATTTTAACTTCTGATCACAAAGTTTTTGCCTTTCCTTTCTCCGAGATCGATTCCCAATTCATTTAGGTTCCACGTCGACGGAACGAAAAACCCGGGAGCGCGTTTCCGCGTTCAAGTCCCAAGTTTGAGCAAGTCCTGCCGTACGTACCGGTCGGCGAAGGACTTGTGGCACACCGGGCACTCGAAGGGCCGCTCGCCCGTGTGCAGGCGCAAGTGGCCCTTGAGCACCCACGGCCGGTCGAAGCTTTTGCGACAGTACGGGCAGAAGTGCATCGTCTTAGTCCTCTTCCAGTGCTGAACGCCTTCGCGGCCACCGGACGCCGTCTTCTTACCCTCGGCGGCGTTCACCAGCTCGTACTTCTGCTTCGGCAGCAAACACAGGGCGTGCGAGAGCGTCTGCGTCTCGCAGCCGTCGATCGCCACCTTCGGATTTGTCGCGCCGGCGACTTTCTCCGCCTCCGCCGTCTCGGTCGCCGGTCCCGCTGGACCTTCCGCGCTACCGGGGAATCGCCGCGCGCCGTCGAGGAATATCGCCGACACCTTCCGCCCGGCGTTGTCGATCACGCGGCCGTCGATCGACAGAGCGTCGAGCTGCGCACCCCCGTGATCTCGCCCGGCCGGGTTCAACTCGGCGTCGAACACCGCCCCGTTGCTCTTGTGGAAGCTGTAGCGAGTTACGATGGGCAGCCCGGAGCAGGTCCAGATGTTGCTCGTCTTGGACGTCGCGTCCTTCGCCTGGCTCTTCCGCTTGTGTTCCACGGAAGACGGCGGCAGCCACGGGAATTCGGTCTCTGCAAAAGAAATAAACAAAATTGATTTCCCGTCGTCCGAAGCAGGCGCGATATTTACTGCCGGAATAATTTACAGCACCTCTGAAAGAGTTACTGAAAGAGTGGCAGAAAGTAATTCCGTAATAAATAAACGAGGTGATTGGAAAGAGTCGCTCTCCGTGTAAAATTAAAATTCCGCCTATCGACAGTCAATAATTAATCCAAGTTTTGAGGCACGTCCTTGCGCGTCTAACGAGAAAAGTGTCTCCCTTCCTTCTCCCTCGGCCGGCAGGCCGAGTGAAAAGAAGCAATAGTTCCAAAAGAAATAAGGGAGTAAGAAAAACTTTGTCATCCGGTCATTTTCCTACGGCGTTCTCTCGGTATTTGTTTTTTTACCCAGTTTCTACCGGAATCCAATACATGAAATTCCGCGCCTATCGGTGATTTTCGGTATCGTCAACTAACAATAAGTGGCAGCCGGTGCCAGAGACGATCTTAAAAAAAAAAAAAACGTTGGGCTGATGGCAGAAAACGATCCGTAAACGCTTAAGGCCTGGTTCGTTTAATTCGTTCTTTGTCTCTTTCTAAAGTAACAGGTGGAAATAGACAAAGAACGAATTGAACGAAAGTTTTAAAGTTAAGCGACGTTGGTGAAACCGGGCCTAGGGCAGACCTAATCTCGTACACCAATGCCCACTAATGCCCAGTGGGCATTACTTTATCTTATCATCTTACTTATCTTGTTAAAAATGCCGCAAATCTGTACACCACATGCCCTCAGCACAACCGTTCACTTTTAGTGAATAGCTTTGTCTCTTTCTAACCGACCCCTTAAAAAAAGAGACACAAACTTTTAGCATTTTCGCTAAATTGTAAGATACAGAATTGACCCCCTGACCCCAATTCGTTTCGACCCTTAGTCGTAAAAACGTATTCAGCGAGAAATTTCGCTCAACTTAAATCTTGGTTTAATTCATGTTTGTCGTCTTCTAGAGTAACAGTCGGAAACCCAGTGAGAAATTATTCGTCGATCGACATCGTTTCGACGATTGACGAATCACGAGACACGGTAGTGTCTCGCGCCAAGTATAAGCGACGAAGTTAAAGTGATTATTTCTCACTGGGAAGAGATAAAGATCGAATTGAGCTAAGCTGCAAGTTAAACGACGTTGGCGAAACCGGGCCTTAAGCGTTTGCGGATCGTCTTTTTGCCATCAGCTTAACTTTTATAATTGCTCGTCACAATTAAGGGTCGTGACTCAGATAACAGATACCGAAGACCAGCGAGTCACAGAATCTCCCGTGCGAGTATCGCCTCTCTCGAGGGGGGAGGATCACGTGACGCTAAGAGACACACGGCATGGCTACCCCCGAGCTGTTTATTATTTTGCCAACAGTCAAGGTTGAACCAACGATCACAGGCAGTTCTCCACGAGGACACGTGGCGAGCAACATACCGAGGGCGCTCCGGAGTTATCCGGAGATAATAGAGATCGTCGCATGAATCAGATTGTGAGTTAAACCCGAACAATGTTAATGAGTTGACGAGGAAGGTATCGTTTGGGGCGGGGAGAGGGGGGGCGAGATACCTTCGTTCGAGTTGTCCGTCCTGTGATACCGCGCCATCGACTTTATCAAGCACCGCGGCATACCTAGTGCCCGAGATTTATCTTCTGTGCTTTACGCCACCCCTCGCAATGAGCACTCTCGTCAGCTCTTACTGTTTACTACAGCGGCAATATGGCATACGATGGCACTGCCGGTCGCTCGATCGGCTCTTGTTTCATTCAAGCAGTAGCGTAGTATCGAAAATTCGCGATGAAATACAGTTACCCAGGCCCGGTTTCACCAAACGTCCCTTAACTTTAATCTAAAACCAGCGGCATACGATACTATTTTCCCCCCCCCCCCCCCACTGGATTACTCGCGAGAGCTCAGGATTTAGCTTTAAGTCACCTGATCTAAAACTCTGAATCCTTACTTGTTCTCGTAAGCAATCCAGTGAGAAAAATAGTATCGTGTGCCGTTGGCTTTAGTTCAATTTAAATTTGCCTCTTTCTAAAGTAACAGCTGGAAAGAGACAAGGAACGAATTAAGCTAAGCTTAAAGTTGAACAACGTCGGTGAGACCGGGCCTTAGGGTCCCTCGCGAATCACTAGGCTTCTCTTTCTATTTTATATTCCGCTCTCCACGCTTTTGAACGTTATTACATTTTCACAAGAACCGAGAAGCCTGTTGGGTCCAAGGCAAGATGTCGATTGCCAAATGATTTTAATATGTAAATTCTTATACCGTTGTTTTTTTAACAATTGCAGAGCGAGACCAACGTTAGTCCGCGTACTGTAAAGGCTGGTCTACAATACATGGAGTAAGCTGGAGTAAGGAGTAGGAGTAAGGAAATAAATCCATTTTATTTCTTACTCCTACTTCAGCTCTTAGGCTTACTCTCGGTGAATCAAAATGCCATCGATCAGTGTTACAATTATTTTAAAAATCATGCCCGTATTTCAGCTTCCTTACACCAAAAGCTAGAAGTGAGGGCTCTCCCTTACTCCTTACTCCACGCTTACTCCACGTATTGTAGACCACGCATAATATCTCAAATTTCTTCAGTTCTTTTCCAGGTAGCATGCATGTTAAAATGTAAAAGCGTCTTTACGCCGGTATTAAAGCCTATCTCTTGGGTATGCACGTCTAAAAGATATCTTAAATATGTCTTAATGGCGTCTCTTAGACGTCGCTATCTGGGTTGTCGATTCGTTAAGCAGAGAGCACTTCTGTGTTTTTTTTAATGTTCTGCATATTTCGAGTTTTGCATTTTTATTCCTCGAAATTTTCGCTCCGATCTTTATGCTCGCGTGAAATTTTCATACGCCAGGATTCCGGGAAAGTAGCCCGACTGATAGAATGAAAATATATGTCTAGGTAACGTATCTATTTGCCCCGAGATTTTCGAAGGTGTTATCCCATGTTGTTATAGGCGACCTTTAAGTGTCTTGATAATTCCCGTGTAGTGGAAACGGGCAACTTCGTAGTCGAAACGTATTCGAACTCGTCTCAGAATCGTTTCAAACACCGTCGCGACCAGGCCAAAACGTATTTTCTCTTATTTCGTATTTCTCTTCAAGATACAAAAATAACTTACATGTACACAACAGTCTTTATTCATAGTAAGTACACGTTTTTCTTTTTTTTAAATAAAATTTGCACGCACATCCTACTCACCTGTGAGAAATATGTAGTGTTTTAACGAAGTTATACAGTGATAATTAAATGCAGCGATTGTTGACCGAACTATCTGTACATTTAAAGTACATCCGCTCCAATAATTAAATATCTGTTATATTTTAACGTTATAAAATTTTATGTAATGTAGTACATTTATGTTAATATAACGCGGCAGTATATTTAGAAAAATGTAGTGTCGTACAATACGACACTCGCTCAAGGTTTTAGTCATTATATATTTTCCGACTGAATCAATGTATTAATTTCAACTTTAATTATATTTAAATATTAACGAGCGACGAGTCTAGAGAAACTTCAAAGAGTTCAATACGGTTGACGGTGCGTAAGTTAAGAATGTATCAGGCTTTGTTTACTTAGAAGATATAACTATAAATCGTACATCTCGGCTCTACTTTCCGTCTTCAGTGGCGCGGTAATAGATAAATTAACTAATTAACGTTCTCTGAAGAGCATAAGGTTAATGTTACAAAAATGAACGTATAGTGCAAACAAGTGCAATTTCGCAGAGAAAAATTCTACTATCCAATGCTCGTAATTTACAAAGTATTCGGACTAGAAATGAAAATCTGGATCACCGGCAGAAAGAAGTGAGAATTACTCGACAAACTGAATCCAGAGATTGATCAAGTGTGAGATTGACAAACTAAGATCTGTCTCAAGACAGATGTGAGACCTCGGGATGATTTTTATGTGGCAGTGGTCGATACAACCGAAATAATGATACGCTGAAAACAAGGACCAACTGAAGTCTTTGTCAGTGTCACCGGGTGTTAACGGTTTGCAGCTGGAGGAGCCGGTTGTTAGTTAGAAGATCGGTTTTAAGTGTGCCATTGTCTTGATTATATCAACCACCACCACTTAAAATTCATTTCAGTTTCCGTTGTCTTTCCTAAGGCTTCGGTTTGCGAGTCCCACGTTCTCTGAACTTGATTTGGTGAGTGGATTTTACTCCTTTTCGTCGGTTAATCTCGATTTTTCTTTCTATAAGTCCGAATATTTTGCAGATTGTAAATATTAGCAGAATTTCCCTGGTATTTTCTCTTCAAACTTGCAATTCTTTCAGTTATATTCGATAGTTAAATATCTTATGCTCATCGGAGAGTGTACAATTATTTAAATAGCACAGCCGAAACGTACACACATAATTACACTTTATTAGTAAATAAATTATATGGAACGGGAAGAGTGCCAATGTGAGCCACAAATGAACGGAAGACAGTTCTCGCAATTTAGAAATAAATTATCTCTTTAATATATAAACGTTTCGACCCTGTTTCGGGTCTTCTTCAGTATAACTCGTTAAATTGACTGGTTAAAGAATCATTCCTCTATCATGGTGAAACCATGATGAGACCGTGATGAGACCATGGTGAGACCATGATAGAGGAATGATTCTTTAACCAGTCAATTTAACGAGTTATACTGAAGAAGACCCGAAACAGGGTTGAAACGTTTATATATTAAAGAGATAATTTATTTCTAAATTGTGAGAACTGTCTTCCGTTCATTTGTGGCTCACGTTGGCACTCTTCCCGTTCCATATAATTTCTTTTTGAGAGCCTTCACAACATTGGAATATTAGTAAATAAAGTTCGATATAACGTTAACTCACACATCGAGTTTAACCGCGTTGAATTCTCAAGGCTCCTCTTTACTTATCACTTGTTAATTTCACTACTGAAACTGCCTTATTGATTAATAAATTATTAGAATACTTAAAGATTTTGAAGGAATGAGATTAGTAACTTTCGTTTACGCTGCATTTATTCATGCGTGACAAGCAGCATATAATATCAAAGATAGAAATTAAATGTCATTAATCCTTGTTGAATTTCTGATTAAGATTTGAATTTACAATTAAAGGCCTGCTAGTGCTATTTATAAAATTCCTTATTGTAATATTTTAAATAACACCATTTAATATAAAATCTATTTTACTTTTATTTCTAATATAATTTTTTAAGTATTGTGTGTAATTTATCTAATTATTGCATGTTGATTATAATAAATGATACCAAGACAATTTTTATGATTTACGTCGCAGTTTGTCATGTATTAATCGGTGGGGAAAAAAGCCCGGCGAGCAGTATAAACAAATAAAACAAGGAATTATGTAAATAGCGTAAAAGAAAAGAAAAGTTAATCTTAGATCAGAAAAGTTTTTCACGAGAGAATGCTCTCCTGTTCCGGAAATTTTAGTTACCGGACCATGTAATCGCCGGAAATATCGGAAAAAAGTTAGCACAAAATAAGACATCGACTCGTAGTATCGTTGCAACACGAACATAAACGATATATGCTTGTACTTTACACCTTTGCATTCAGCCTCGTTAACTTTATCGGCAAATCTTATCGGGTCCAGACAGTTATGACATGTCGTAGCGAACGCATCCTCTCGATTTACCTGGTTGCAATTTGCATATAATAATAAAAATATTACAATTTTTGTCTAATCTATTTTAATTAATAGATTGTGTGATTTGTGCACTTGAATTTATAATAAAATATTACAATTATTGTTATAGATCTTTTATAACAAATAGTGGTTTAAATGCGACTCTGTTATAATCTCTTATTGGATGCGATTTTCTCTCAAGACACTTTCACGCAATTTCATACCCAGATGACGTGCAATTTAAAAATTAATATTATAGACTTAATATTATGGACTTTTTCCTCAAGAATCGAATACTGAGTCTTGAGAAACAAAATTCGAATTGTGTTTCCATTTAGATTTGGTTCTCAAGGGAAATTTTATCCAAATTTGAATCACGATTATATTTATTGTATGATGAACGTTAAATTCATTCTTACACACAAATTCGTTTATCGTATCACGTATCTCATTGTTGATTCCGATTAATTTCTTCAGCAGAAAAATAATTAAAAATATAAAGCTTATTAATGATACATAGAGGAATGTCCCCTATTGTGAGATATGTTTCTAATATGAGATAGCAGGTTTTAAAAACTCAAATTCCATCACAAATTTCTTTTCGCAACCATTACACAATCTAAAAATGAGTTTTCCAGTAAATAAATTTCACTCCAAGGGTAATGAATTCATGGTGGAATCACCTGATGATGCCCATTAATTTAACAGAAATTCCGTTATCCCATATTAGAATCCTGTTTCATAATAGGGGACTTTCCTCTACAATCTACATGTATTTTAAGTGACTTGTGTGAACGAAAAAATAATTGGAGAAACAATAAATAATCAGTAAATCCTAATTCGTTTCATTAGGTTTAAATTTTAACGTATTTATTTGTAGGCCATGCCTCGTCTTAAGGTGCTACTCTCTATATGCAGCTTCTTCTGTCTTTTGAATTCTTGTTATTCCATTTTCCTAGGTAAGGCAAACTTCCGATAATACAGAAATTTTATTTTTATTCTTAAAATAATTTTTGACACATCTGTTCTTTTGTTCGAATTTGCGGATTCTGACGCATCGAAATAAATCAATCTGCGATTATATCATTTTTCTATTTGTATTTTGAAATATCGATAATGTAACAAAATTTGTGTTATTTTCAGATGATTTGTTTGGATCTTCTGCGATACAATGTCAATTTGGGACATTTAAATGCAAGTCTAGGGATATATGCATACCGTCAAGAAAGCGATGCAATGGTAATAGTGATTGTGAAGATGGTTCGGATGAGGAAAACTGCACCGAGTACAACGAGTACAAGAAAGATGTGGATACCGAACGGGGAGTGAGTATTGTAAAGCTCATATTATTGTCGCTCCAAAATTCACTTTTCAAACAGTTGATTTTAAGTCTGCAATATAGTTTTGAAGATAAATAGCTTCCATTTTTTTTATAATCAAATCGCACATTATGCGCTGCTACGTATCGTTACCTTAAAATTCCAGACACTTCTAAAAATTTTTAACTGCAAATCGTACACCTGTCATCCCTTCGCTAAAGGCAATAGTAAAGTGTTGTTGCCTAATTTCAATTAATTTTTTATTTATGTTCAATTGACGGATTATTCTCTCCAAGAAAGTCTTAGAAAGATTGTTTAAAGCAATTCTTTACTTCTGGCGCTTGAAATGTTCTCGTACTTAAAAAGCTCAGTTTCCGTAGTGTTAAAAAGAAAATATTTTGTTTGTGGTATAACACTTACTCAAGCTATATCAATGCTTGAATAAAGTAAAAGAATACTGTCTTATTTATTATGTTGAACATTACGTCAGACACGAGACGCAATACACATGTATGTACACAGTACTGAGCAACATATCTTCCTATTTAGGGTTCCTTAAAGTGCGACGAAAATCACTACCAATGCACCCATTTACATGAGTGCATACCGGCAGGAAAGTTTTGCGATCAAGTGACAGATTGCATTGATGAAAGCGATGAATATGACAAATGCGAGCATGACGTAAGTGATAAGTGTGCATGATAAGTGAATCAGCGCGGAGTTCCCGTGTGTTGTTATCATAGTGTAGCATTTATCTCCATTAATTTTTCTGTTTCATCATTCTTCTTCAAATAAAGTGAAATAATTTTGGAATTCTGTTCTTTAGTTGCGTTGTGTCAACCAATTCCGGTGTAACAACAGTTATTGCGTACATAAAGAATGGGTTTGCGACGGCAAGAGTGACTGTTCCGATGGCAGCGACGAATGGAATTGTAATATATTTTTCTTATAAATATACATTATTATAACGATAGAACAATATAAATTAGATCTTATGTAAAAAGAAACTCTTTTTCTTACATGCTCCTTTGCGGTTTTTCCAGGCACAGGTAAAACAGGCTGTAAAATAGAGAATTCCCAATTTTTGTGTGCAAATAATCGATGCTTAGATTTTAACGCCGTATGCAATAAAAGAAATGATTGTGGCGATGGATCAGATGAAGGTGTCGATTGTAAGTATGCTCGTTACATCTCTACACTGAAAAAAATTTCTGGTTGAATATGGACGAATCAGATAATTCCTTTAGGATTTACCAGAATTCCTTTAGGATTTACCAGAATTCCTGTAATCCTACAGAAATTCTGGTAAATCCTAAAGGAATTCTGGTAAATCCTAAAGGAATTATCTGATTCGTCCATATTCAACCAGAAATTTTTTTCAGTGTACACATTTTATTATTGCAATCCTTATTGCAATCCTGCAACACATTGTAATTTTATTATTTCCTTCCATTTTAATACAATTAAGTTGTCTGCGATGTAATCTTGATGTGATTTGTTATATAATATTGTGTTATATTCGTTGTTATAACACAAAGAATTATTTGACGCCAATACACAATTAACCAATGTAGAAAAATTGCTAAACGACGCGACGCTTGGCTGGCAAATTTTTATTAAAGAAATTTATTACGAAAAATATTACCTCAGCCAAGATTTGAATCTGGACTTCCCTACGCTCTAGGCGGGCGTCTCATCAATTCTTTGTTATAATATCTTTAAATTTTCTTTCAGGTACATTACCTTGCCTTAAAAAATGCGATCACGAATGCAAGCAAATTCCTAAAGGAAGGGGCGTATGCACCTGTAAACGGGGATATAGATTAAAAGATGATAATCATACTTGCATAGGTAAGTATGTAATAAACTAAAACCGATAACACAGTACGGGGAATATGTCCCATTCGCCTTACAATTTATTTCTTTCGTAGATATCGACGAATGTAAAATTTACGGTATATGCGATCAAATATGCGTGAATTCTCCAGGATCCTATAGTTGCGCATGTCAAAAGGAATATTTCCTGGATAACGATAAGAGAACCTGCATAGCGCATGGTAAATTAATTCACGTGTAAGGTGTGACGGCGCGTATTCATTTATATTAGTCTTTATAAAAACGCCAATCTTTTCTTTGAACTTCAGCTGGTGAGGCTTTGTTGGCGTTTTCTACAACAAAAGAAATCATAGGGAAGTATATCAATTCGAATGTGAGCTTTACACTCGCGTCAAATTTAACTCGTGCATCCGCAGTTGCTATGAATGGACGCGACCACCTTTATTGGGCGGATATTGAAAACGGCGACGAAGTTATTATAAAAAGAATTCCTTATGAACCGCACGACGTTATCGTTACAACAGGTAAGCACTATTTTAACTGTCACTTGTATATAAGTACTATAGCCTTTGCAAAAATAACTTTTTATACGTGCTATCTGCTTAAAGTCTTGCAATATGAAATAAAATGACATTAGAAAAATGATAATTGTCAATATAATATATAATGGTAATTATAATGAATATAATAAGTATTAGTAATTATAATTGTTACAATTTGTTATACTATATTATATTGGTACGATAATGATAATAATTTTATTTAAAATATAAAATAATACAATATATAAAAAAAGAAATGCGTATTTTTTGTTGGATGAGTATTTTAAAATATTATACTATAAAATAAAAATCTCATTAAATGTAATTTCTGTCGTGTCTATATATCTTCTAAATTTTCTATATCTTATATAAAGGCTTGCAGAAAATCTCGGGGATAGCTGTGGACTGGATTACAGAGAATATATATTTTACGGATTCGATTTACGGTCGTATTGGAGTTTGCGACAGTAATGGCATAAATTGCACTGTGTTAATCGAAAAGATTAGTCTCCCAACTGGAATCACTTTATTACCAACTCGTGGGTAAATATTGCACACCTTGTAAAAGTTATGCTTAAATTCTGTTTCAGCAGTCAAATAATTTTATAAAAAAGATATTCAGAAGGGAAAGAGAGAGAGAGAGAGAGAGAGAGAGAAAAATTCTTAAATTTTACTAATTGATTTGTCACTTATTACTAATCATCAGCTTACAGATAACTATACTAATTCTTAATATTAGGATATTTTATGTAATGGTATTTAAAGTAAATCTACTCTCGTATCTAATCTACTCTAATCCAGAAATATGTTTTACAAATAAAATTCACTTACTAGTAATAATAACAATATATCATTTTTGTAAAATGCAAGTAAAATAATTTTTATTTGTAGCCTCGATTATATTAAACCAACATTAAGCAAGCTTTCTAAATTTTGTTTTAGATAGAAGCATAGTAAGATAAACTTATTATTATAATAATATATTAATCGTGTATTATATTTATAGAAACATGTATTGGTGCGAAGCGGGTTTCCGTGCACGTATAGCAGTGGCGGGTATGGACGGCCGAAACGTCCAGACACTTGCTACTAAAACAATGAATTGGCCAACAAGCTTGACCATTGACTATCCGACTGAACGATTATATTGGGTGGATGTCAAGTTACAGATGATCACGTCAATGCGTTTAGATGGCACTGATCGAAGAGTTAGTGCTTTTTCTTTCTCTTAATGTAAAATACTTTAATAAAATAAAGATTTTACGAATTTATAATTCAATTATATTCGCAGTTGGTACTACATGATATGATTAACGAGCCATTCTCCTTGGCAGTCTTCGAAAATAAATTATATTGGACCGACTCGGAATCTAATATGTTACAGTCTTGCGATAAATTTTCTGGAAAGAATTGGCGTATCTTACATCGAACGTTTGATGATCTTTCTGGTGTACACATTGATCACTCAGCGATAAAGCCCCAAGTATAATATATTACTTGCCCGATACAAAAATATGTCACAAAAGATTTGTCATTTATCGTTCAATTGAATTTCAGATTGAAAATCCATGTAAGTCCAAACCGTGTTCTCAATTGTGCCTGCTGAATCAAGATAAAGGATACACGTGTGCCTGTACGTTAGATAAGGCATTAGACGTTGACAAGAAAACTTGTCGAGGTAAATTTTGTCACAACCAGAAAAAATACCGAATTTTCAGAATATATTAATGTATATTGTGTTAGAAAATTTGAGATTAACATAGACGAATCCTTATTATATATTTTTAAATAACCATACAAGTAAAATTTCAGAGAAGAAACAGCGTTTGCTGATCATTACAAGAGAGTCATTTACAACTTATTATCGTGGATTGTTGGGAAAGCCGAAAACGATAAATTACTCACTCCGCAGTATTAATGTACATAATATACAGTCCATACGGCACTTCATTTCTGATCCGATCTCTGGTATAATATCAGAATTGCTATTTTATAAAAATACTATAGGCAACGATGTTGGATATTAATTTTCTCTTATACTTGAAATTTATTTAGGTCGAGTAATGATATTTTATGATGTATTACCATGCTGGTTCACGCTCTATAATCCGGTCAGCAATCTTTTTGAAGAACCGAGGGTTTGGAACAATTTTAGCATGGCAGAGATAGCATTTGATTATATTGGCAATAACTTGTATCTACCAGTCATGTTGAACCGCTCTATCGAGGTACAAAACATAAAAACCCAGGCCATAACGAAATTGTATCTCAAAGATGCTCCGATGTCTATTGCATTGGCACCCGAAGAAAGGTATGACGCTGATTATATTTATCATTAAGATAATTGTCAGCATTTGTTAGTAAAACAGTTATAATGTGCTTATTATGTATTGTAGCAAGATGTTCGTTTTGCTTCAAACATGGGACAAAAATTATCGTATAAGGTTTGCAATATATGAGATGAGAATGGACGGACTCGGTGAAAGAAAGCTAATTAAGGACAACACAGGACTTGTATTAATGTACTACGACAGAGACAGTAAAACGCTCTTTATATATGAAAAGTCCCATGGTAACATTTTGTCGTACTCGGAAAGTACAGGTTTGCACTTTTTGAATTTGGATTGTGTTTCACAGAGATGGATTTCGAAATATACTATTGAAATAATAAATTAAATTTTATAGCATGATATTATATATATTATATATTTCTGTGCAATATTACATTACGAAAAATATGTTTGTACGTATATCGTGATAATATCGAGCATCAAATTTTCAGGCACACGTGTCCGTCGCACTGGATTCACAAAACCGTTTACGAGCTTTGCTGTTGCTGATAACCAGTTGTTTTGGACTGAACTTTCTAGGACTGAATCTCCAACATTACACTGGCTACATTTAAATTTACCTAAAAATTCATTTCCGATAGGCCGTCAGTTTTTAAGTGAGTTTATTTAATACTTGTTTAATAATGTATATAGCATGAATTGGATGGATTAATAGAACTTTTTTTTTAGAAATTAACGGAAGCAGTACACGATCATCGTTGTTTGTGGTAACTTTGCGCAATGATGTCAAATCGGAGCATGGTTGTCAGAAAAATAATGGAAATTGCTCACACGTGTGTTTGGTTTCCTCTGCCACTTCGTTTGTAAGTACGCACTTCCAGGAATGTAGATACAATCATGCGCTAATTATTTAAGCATCTCATATACAATTAAAACATTGTTGTTTCGTTCTATGTCATCTTGTCCATGTTGCGGTACCATATTAGTCATATTTGTCGAGGAAATTTAATGTGACACTTTTGCGTAATGATTGACTAAACTTCCAGACTTGTGCTTGTCCTCCCGAAATGGAGCTATCAAATGACGATCGTACGTGCATCTCGCATCACAAATGTCCTGAGAATGAATATAAATGCAGCGAGCACAAATTGTGCATTAAAAAGGAGCAGTTGTACGTTCAATTGGTAGTTTTACAGCGTAATCCACAAATAAAAGATAATAGGCTTATTATTTGAAGATTATCGATATATCGACAATTAAAACGTTCGATTGTGACACATTTTGACATATCATCCGTGCTTCTTTATCAAGAATGACTAACTTATGTATCTTGAATTTTCGCGTCTTTATATTTAATATTTTTTTCCATATACTCGATAAATATTTATTATTTTGTTTCTTATGGATTTCATAATGGATAACAATAATATCATGAATACCTTTGGGAATCTTGCAATTTAGGTGCGACGGTATCGTCAATTGCCCGAGCGGTGAAGACGAGACGATAGACTGTAAGAAAAAGCAGGGGGGTTGCAAGGAAGATGAATTCACGTGTAAAAACGGCGAATGCATCCGTTCGAAAGATCGTTGCAACTCGTATTTCAATTGTGCGGATCGATCGGACGAGGAGAATTGCGAGCATCCGAAGTGCACAAGCGGTAATTACATTCTTGTTCTATCTTCATTTATTTAATTACATCTGAATGTATGTATGTATGTGAACTTTGAATGAATATCTGAACGGACTTTGTGATCTTCTCTCTGAATACTCCACAACTAAACTCGTGCAGTCGTTCATTCGTTTAACGCATGTACCTTTTAGGTGAATTTCAATGTTATGACGGGACTTGCATCCTGCTTTCAAAAGTATGTAACGTCCACTTCGATTGTCCCGATCTTAGCGATGAGACACCCGATAGTTGCAACCTGGTTACGTGCCGTCCGGATCAATTCAGGTGCAACGATCGTAAATGCATTCCGATCGGGTTTTTATGCGACGGCGATGTAGGTACCAATTATAGTAATACTTTATACACTCGTGCTATATTTATCTGTAGTTCTTCATTCCGTAAAAGACGAACGTTAACAATCTTTTGTCTTGCAAGAAAGTTGCCAGAACGAAGTAGAAGCGACCATTTTTTTCTGATCAAAATGAATAAGCTTTTTGATTGATTTCTTTATTCGCAATATGTCAATATTATTTTATATAATAATTTTGTATGAAATTTATATTATTTGTGTAATATTTGCATTTAAGTCCGATTGTGGATTTGGAGAGGATGAAGCACCCGAGAAATGTCATCGAAATGCGAAGCTCAAGGTCGTGGAGGTCAAGGTCTGTCCATCTGGGTTTTACCGGTGTGTCAATGGTAATTGCATATCTGCTGCGCTGCAGTGCGACCGCATCAACGATTGCGGCGATAACAGCGACGAGAGGCACTGTTTATTTACATCAAGTCGTTCGTTTAATTGCACCTTGGGTGAATATCGCTGTTTGGACACTGATAAATGTATCCGAAAAGAATTAAGGTGAGTCGATCGTATGAAAATACAAAAATGATCCGTGAACGAGACGTACGAACATCGAAATGTTATTTCAACTCTCTTTTCGCGAAGATCCTTTTTCTAATCGCGAACTCTACTGTGCAGACAGACAGTCACAGCCATTTCCAGGCGTTTAGAAGAAGTAAAATATAATAATTTGTCTTATTATTAGTAAACTATAATCTCAACACCGAAAGTGGGCTGTGTTCATCGATTTTATTCTCTTGCAGATGCGACGGCGTAAGTAATTGCCCGAAACACGATGACGAACACAACTGCAACGAATGTTTCGAGCATGAATTTTCCTGCGGCAATAACAAGTGCATACCGGAGAGTTGGGTATGCGATGGAAAATCAGATTGCAATGACAAGTCGGATGAGATGAGGTGCGACGGCAGTAGACAGATTTTCAACAAATCTGGCATATGTACCGATTTCCAATGTTCTGTCGGCACTTGTTTGTCGTACGATAAAGTATGCGACGGTATTGGAGACTGTATAGACGGCAGCGATGAAGGCAGGGCATGCCGTATGTAGATTAATCTTTTCCGCACCACTTGAACCGACCCGCCGAGAAAACCACTTTGATGAGAAATTTAGCAGGGTGTCTGGAGTGTTTTGGCCTTTAAGACACTCGGCGAAATCAATAGTTTCTTTTCGCGATAAGTTCACGAAACATACTAAAAAAAACTATTCTATAATTGAAGACCAGATATTGAACAGATATGAATTAAAGGAGATAGAAAATTATATGTTGCATATTAGCATACAACGCTTAATTGTGTATTTATGTGTGTACTATTTTCGGTTATTTACGGACTCGTTATATTTTTCTGTGCAGAGCGCGCCTGTGCGGTCGACAATTATTGTAAAGGTGTATGTTACAAGACACCATCAGGCCCAATTTGCGGGTGTCAAAGTGGATATCGTTTGGCTAACGATACGATTTCTTGCGAGGACATAAACGAATGCGAATACGATATCTGTGCGCAAATTTGTCAAAACACCATGGGCTCTTACGAGTGCTCCTGCTACAACGGATATGTTATCCGTAACGACAGGGTTTCTTGTAAATCTGCCGGTAAGTAGTCCTAATTTAACTTGATTCAATGTGTTTAAGTCATTTGAAGGTAATAAATATCATTGGCGATCATTCAGCAACAACGCGAATGGAATCGATCTTCATCACTGAGAAGGATATTCGGAAGGTCTCGAATCGTTTTCATACAAGCGAACTGGTTCATACATTTGCGAGCCCGAGTATAAGCGGCTTCGACGAGATCAATGGCTTTGTTTATTGGAGCGACGGTTAGTCTCAATTTGTTTCAATTTTATGTGTTAAGTTAATTATTAATGTACGACGTTTGCATTATTTGGAGAACGTGAGGGTCCAGAGGATTCTCATCCAATAACAGATTTGCGAAAGAATTACACTGTGTGGTTAAATAATTAGAAAAAAATTTATTGCAGATGAATTCGGCACTATTAACAAAATCAATGTTAAAACGAAGGAGGTGATCACAGTTTACGATGTCATTCATCCGCAAGCACTCGCAGTCGATAGCATTACTGACAATGTCTACGTCATTGATAACAACCATCCGAATACGATTAATGTAAGTTTTTTCTTATTATGGAGTAAGTTAAAAAAAAACTATTGCGATTTGTAGACTCATTTAGTTAATTAATTTAAGGTATGCGATTTGGAGAAGGAACGATGTGCGACGCTGGTCAAGATAAAAGATAAGGCGAAAGCAACGTCCCTCGTAATTGACTACACTAACAAGTATTTCTTTTTCATTCTTATTGCAGCTCTCTTGTTATCATCATTTATTTAACAGACTTATCAATCTGACATTGATGACATGTTCAATCGGACATTGGTGATATGTCCGTTATTAGAAACTTATACAATTAAAACTTGCTCTTATTGTTGTAGATTGCTAATCTGGTCACAAGTCACTTTGCAAGCGAATCAGTCGCATAGCGAGATATGCCGGACAAACCTAATGGGCGACGACATGAAGATTATTAACTCTGATGTAGGCTATGTGGCCACAATAGCAATCGATCGTATAAAATCTAAAATATATTGGTTGAACAATTTCAAGAAAACCATCGAATCGTCTGATTTGGATGGGAGTCGACATTGGGTGTTTATGCGAATCAAAGTACGTTAACAGGTTCATTATGTCAATCGCTCCTCTTACAACAATTGATTTAGAATATATGTCACATTTTGTATAAAAAAAATAAGCATTTCCCACGGATAAATTATATTCTTTTTTTTAACAATGTGCTCTTTTTTTAGATGGTCTATCCACCAAAGATCTTTATTCATGACCAAGAACTTTATTGGATTACGGGCACGAGAGGTGATACGTATGTATGCAAGCTGTACGGTACAAAAGAGTGTGGTGTCCAAAGCACCTCGCATCCCGCCTCGAGTGATATTAACAGTCCTTTAATTTATCTTCATATTACCAGTGGACCTTCCGGTTGGTAATAATACAACACTTAAGATTGAATAATCTTAAAATTAAAATGCTGTCTACATAGAATTAATCTTACCAGAACGAAGTCAAATTAAATATGTACTTATTCGGCAGATAAGAATCCTTGCGACGGAAAGTCTTGCGAATATATGTGCGTTCAGGCGAATGACAACGCGATGTGCATTTGTTCAGATGGTAAACCGATGAATTCTAGTGACACTTGTGCGAATAAGTTGCAGCATGTTGCTGGAATTATCAGCTCGTCAAAGAACACACGGAATGCGACTGGCATCTACAGCGTAACAATAATCGTACTGCTGATCGGTGTCCTGGTATTATGCATTTTCTATTACTATCAGAAATACAGATTAAAATCAAAATCAGCAGACGATTATAGGTACGTACCACATATATTTTAGCGTTGTATTTAGCTAAAGAATCGATCGTTGAACGTAATGCACAATTATTATTCGCAAAAATATCGTACGTTGTGTGATAGCAGCAACAGCAGCATTCGCTTCCAAAATCCGTCGTACGACCGAAGTGATGAGGTTGAGGTAATAATGAACTCCATAATCACAGAGAACTTAGCTCCAGGAGAACATGAATATACTAATCCGATCGATGATAACATTGTCAAGGTAAATAGTTAATTTTACACTTGATTGCGCGACATTGACTTTTTACGACTATACATTTGTTCGTTGCAATGCGCATTATCTAAATTTCTGTGTAATTGCGCAGAGTATACGATTATGCATGAAGTAACTATTGATTATGACTAAGAATAATGTACGTAACTATTCAGATGCAATAAGTTACTGCAGACTTGAATATTCAGCATCTCTTTATAGGCTGCAACGGCAAGTAGCGACGCACCGAGGTCAGATTTATGCGTGGAGGAAAGATATTGAAGAAATAGAAAAAGAAAATGTAATTCACGCATACAAAATAAGTAAACAGTCTCGAGAGTTAATAAGGAAAAATTAAACTTATTAGATAATAAGATTATATGACGTTAAAGAATTTCTTAATGTTTAAGTGTTATAAATGTCAAGATGCTATTGTGAATATGCTTATAAATGAAATGTGTATATATACATATATATATACACACAATTCAATCACTTGAATATACTTGATCGCTGTACAATATCAGATTGGTTACGATATGTATGGCAGTGATTTACATCAAACATGAATACTTTTTAGTCAACACGTAATTATTCGGAATAGTGTAAAGTAAAATACGTCTATGAAATATGTATTTATTCTCACGTGTTTTTGTGTGTTCTACTTCAAATTTGCAGCACGCTCAAGTGTGATAATGTAATTTTTACACAAGCCTGTAGGCTAAGAATTTGTACATACATTTGTTTATATAAACATCAACATTATGTATATTCTCATACATGATTTTCTATAAATTGTCTAGTGTATTATACTACGCCATAAAAATATATATATGAATACTGCTTTTACAATTTTGTAAAATATATAATACACTGTAAAAAGGATAATTTCCAATAAAATTTTTATACACTCTAAATAATTAATTTTAACAATTATACAATTAAACAACTTAATTTTCGTACATATAATATAAATATTAAAGTTCCTCATGAAATAGGGTAGTATATAAATACGGGTGAAAATTACAGTTTTTCTGTATGGTTTTGCATTCTGTTGTTTATTGTTATCCTGTGACAATTGTGTGACATATTATTACTATTGTTATTTTAATTTTAATTCAATTATGACAAAAATCTAACATTTGAAAATTATTTAGAAAAATGCAGAGCCGCCGGATACATAAATACTACCGTCCCAACCTTTCTAAGTTAGGACGGCAGGATGGTTGATTCCCAAAACCCACTATTCCCAATAATCCACATCCGATATTCATCTGCAATATCACTGTGTGTAATAAAGATAATAATGAATAGTTGATTCAGTGTACAGTCAGATTAGCTTACCATTTATTTAATTAGAATTCTTGTTCTAGAGACTTGGTTCTAGATTTCAGCTAATTAAATAGGGGCTATCAAGCGCGCCAACGCCTGCTACTATCCCGCCTTCATCTTCACTTGCTAATTTGGTTCTTAGAACATGCCCTACTTGTTCATTTAGCATTATTTCATTGCTATTCCTAGGACAACAGATTGTTATATGAATACTATCGATGTCATCTGTATATTTTTTAGCAGATATTACGATTATTACAATGCAAATGATCTATGCTTACCCCACTATCACTCCATATATGCCGAGTTCTGATATAACATCCGATAGGTCAATGTTATCTTGTAACGGCGATTCCTCAGAAGCACGGATTAAATAATTTTTCTGTAATGGAGGAAAAATGCGATCCATAAGAATCCACCCTGTTCTCTCTTGTGATTTCTTCATCGAATTTAACCACGACCTTATATTCTCATTGTATATGTTATTTCCACCTCCTTCTCTTTGTGGTTTAAGAACATATTTACTTGGTTCATTTATACCCATTTGTACTGCTCTTTCTCCATCGTCATTCTGTTATTAAAGTAAGTACATTAGATTACAAAATACTGAAAGTTACGATCCATAACTAAGCATTCCGATGAAGTGACAAATAGATTACTTACAAAATCTAACGTGTATAAACCAGTGAATATTTCTTGCACTCTAGCAACATATGTATCATCTTTCAGGAATTTTTTCAACACACTGGGCTGAGCTAAAGATTGCTGAACCTAAAAGAATAATAGTTTTCAAAATTAAATATTCTTCAAATTTTTATTAATAATGGACACATGTTACAGAATTTTTTCCAATATTAACAAGTATGGTAAAAATTAAATCTTTATCCTAATATAATACTTGTTCTCCGATATAATGCTCATAGAACTCTTTTGTACGCAAAAAGATTTGATTTGTTACGCGCTTGTGCAAATAAAGATGAAATAATTTACATACTTTTTTAGTACCTGCTAAATGATACTGTACTGATGGGCACTTTATTGCACGAGAACATTCTATTAACAATCTAATGTCCCATTCCTTTTCTGTAGGATAGGCTTCGAGTTCGTAACCTGACCGATAGTAAACTACAGCCACTACCATATTTGAACTAAAACAATTTAAGTGATTCAGATATTTCCACGATTCGACATTTCAATCATCTGTATTCTTCAATCAGTACTTATTTCTCTATATTATTTGTAAAGACATGAAAAAGTCTTTTCTTTGGAAATATTTTATGTAAACTGTGATACAATTTACAACATAATTTGTAACTTACACAATTAATTCTTTATTTGGTCCCAGTTTTATTCCTTCCGATGCCAAACTTGTCAGGCTTCTCCGAACAATCTTAATTTCAGGACATAATTGACGAATTTGGAACTCGTAAAGTCTTTGGTCGCTTATATTATATGTTACATCTTCAACAACAAACAATATTATAGCCCTAAAACAAATCTGTTTATCAGTCTCATTAATATAAGACCTAGAGTAAAATTTGCTGTGCCACTCAACTTACTCTGGATTATTATACATTTTCCACGCAAATATTAATCCCTTACAAAATCCAACACGAGCATTATTTTCTGGAATCTTACAAATAGCAATAGTCAGTATCGATAATGAACTGTCAAGTATCTTCAACATATCGCAAGAATGATATAAGTTTAGCACACGTTTACAATGAAAAGAGACAACGTATGTAAAGTTATTTCTTCAAAAAAGTTATAATGAACAATTAATTTACTTGCTCGCATGCATTCTTCCTATAGCCCAGTTCTCCTAACATGTATCTATAAAATAAATGCATCTTCATTAAAGACAAATAAATGAAAGACCGCTTTTCAAGCGGTAGACTCTTCTTGTAATATTTCGATACTGAACTTACTTATGATACTCTGACGTGACTGTAGCCAGGGCCGCAAAACTGGTTGCCACTGTGTTTATCTCAACTTGCTTTATCTTAGAGCCATCGTCGTGTAATAAATAATCCGATCTCAACAGGCCAAGGCTTACACTCTGCAAGTTGATAATGGAAAGATTTTACAGCTGTACCACTTTGCGAAACGACTGACCGCAGACTTTTTCGCCGACATTTGGACGCCAATATTTAACATTACCTGACTGAAGCCTCTTTCGTACACTGTCTCATAGATGTGAAATAGCTTTGCTGTAAACGGATCAGCCTGGACTGTGCTAAATCAAATAATACAGTTTCTATATTACAAGGAAAATCCCTACATCTTTTACCACTGTCGGTTCTAGCGGCGATACCTTTTTAAGCTGCTCGCAAGGAATTCCTTGTCGTGAGCGACCTTGTGGATGAGCTCGTTCAGTAACGTTTGTACATTTTTCACAGCTAGAAAGGCCTTCCTGGGGAAACTCGATGGTAACAGCGTGACGGGCAGTACTTGTACCTGGTCCATGTTGAAATTCTTCCTGGACCGCATGGATATCCCTGAGCAAACACAAGAAATCTAAATGCATCCATCCAAATTGTTGCAACAACTTTACATTGCCACGTATTCTTCATGCTTGCCCCGGAGAGCGCGGCTCTTAGCAGTCTTATCAGGAACAAGACGCAACTATCGCGAGCAGGTGTCGCATAAATCACTCGGGTAATTACACCAGTCAACTTGTTTATCAGTAAAGAAAAGGCATAATCACCGTGCATAAGCGCCCAATCCTTCGCTTTATCCACGCTCTCTTTCAGCTCGTCCTTCGAGAGAGGAAGCTGGATACAGGGCTCCAGTCGATGGGCGCTCATTGTGAGATTTAAGATCGAATCGGATGACCCGCACCGTCCGCACTACGTCATCGGTCGCTTCCAGCCGGACCGCGTGAACCTCAACGACAGCTCGACAGCTCGACTGCTCGACGACACGTTCAGCTGCTGAACTTCAGCTGCGATAGTGACGAGGAAAAAAGACGATCGTGGCGTCATCTCTCGTCAGACCTGATAATCGAAATGAGAAAACGAAGGACGGATAGGCAAGGTATTATCTTCTCGCACGTTCGCGAAGATCGCAATGTGGAGAGAAACGTGAAGTAATGTCGAGAGTGTCAAGAGGCACTTTCGCGCCTCCAATTAATTTCTAATTAATGAGCAGCGATTGGAAACAATTGCTGATTGTTGTATATTTCGATTAAAACATTTACTGCCGCGTCTTTTACGTACATACACGTATGTACAGAGCGAATTTCACGAAAAAATCAGCTGGACACGTTTCTTTCATAGTCTATTTCTTGGCCATAAAACGATATATCGTTTGGTTAAAATGTTAAAAGAGTTCGCAATGTTTCACGGCAGAGAGGTAGTTTAATGGGATCTTTTTAATGAAAGCGTCATCCGAATTAACACGTCAAATTTGCACGATCAGGAGTTCGATTCTTGAATTCGTGCGAAAGTTCTGCTCTCACAGATAAGACGATTGGTTAAAAATCACGCGAATAACCAGTCAATTCTTCTTTTCTCCAGTTTATTCTCTTAATGAATTCAAGAATCAAGCTCTCCGTATTTCCCGCCGTATTTCAAACGTGAAACGCCGCTTCCGTCATTTACGGTCCGAAAAGCGCGAAGCAATACGCGAGTCGCTGGATCGAAGATACTCTCGCGCAACGGAGAATAATATCGGTCGTTTATTGATGACATACGCAATTAAAGTATATAAATTGTTTCGCGGATTCGAGCGTTCGAGATGCAAATCGCGCGGGAAAACAGCGTCGAATCACATCGAGCGCGCGCTTTCGTGCGATCGGTCGATCGCGCCCCCTCTCGATCGTTAACTTGACTCGCGTCGTATTCGGCGTGAAGTTGGCTAGGCGTCCCCTCAGAATCCCGCGTCGTCGACGGGACGTTCGCGGCTCGTGGTGTTGCACGATTTCTCTTTTCTTCGGGCGCGACGCGATAAATCCGGGAGTGCCGCTCGCGGTACTGCGCGATCGTAGCTTTCCGCGAATGTTTAGCGCAAGGGTCATGGAAAGTCAGCAATGAAGAGGAGAGGAGCGGAGGCCCGGCGGAGGCCCCGTCCAGCGAGAAATGATTCGTCGAAACGATGTCGATTCGGCATCGTTTCGACATCGATCGACGAGTCATTCCTCGCTGGCGGAGGGCGTCGGGCGACGCGGAGCAACCTCGGGGAAATAATTATTCGACAGGTTAGTCTTTTGCCCAGTGAGAAGTGACTCGTCGATCGGTGTCGAGTCGATCGTCAAGTTGATGTTAATTTGACGGTGTCGATGTCGGCTCGACGTCTTTTCCACATTGATCGTCGAGTCGATTTCTCGCTGGTATTAGTTATTGCTCAATAGCGGATCCGCTCTCACCTTAAAACGTCTCGACACAATTGACTTGCCCGTATGAAATTAATACGTGGGCTTACAAAACCGCCCAGTGAGAAATGATTCGTCGATCGATGTCGCATCGATCGTCAATTTGACGGTGTCGATGTCGATTCGACATCCTTTCCACATTGATCGTCGAGTCATTTCTCGCTGGTGTTAGTTATTGCTCAATAGCGGATCTCACCTCACCTTAAAACGTCTCGACACAACTGACTCGCCTGTGCAAAATTAATACACGGGCTTACAAAACCGCTTAGTGAGAAATGATTCGTCGATCGATGTCGCATCGATGTCAAATTGATGATACATGACACCTTCAAATTGATGTCGAATCGACGACAATTTGACGGTGTCGACGTCGATTTCGACATCGATCGACGAGTCGTTTCTCGCTGCGCGGCTGACCAAATCCCAGTGAGAAATGATTCGTCGATCGACGTCAAAACGACGTCGATTTGACATCATTTCGACGTCAATCGACGAACCATTTCTCGCTGGGATGGCTTTGGATTCTTGCAAGTATCTAATTAAAGGATATAAGCGATTACACTGCTAATTACATCGAAAGTTTCAATTCATTCGTATATATGTATAATGAATGCATGGAAAATACGTTGGTCGACAGATTTGTCAAGTAAACTTCGTGCGATCGTAGGATTATTCAGAAAATAAATTTTTTCACAGGCTGACAACGCGAACGAGTAATTGAAATGTGAAGTTAAGAAGATTTTAGCATTCTTCAGTTAAATATTTGTTTTAAAAAAATTTTTGACGCGCCCGATGATTTTTTTTAATGTCGATTATTTTAAACACTGTTTTAACTCGATACATTTGTGTGTTACAGATTAATTTTCTTCGCCGCTGCGAATCACTGAATCACTCGTGAGTATTAAATTATTTTTCATCTTGAGAGAATATGTGTGCAGCAATTCAGCTGCAACAATTTATAAAAATTAGATAAAATATAAGATGCATGTATGTCGGATGTAAAATCATAAAAGAGTTGGAAAGACTACAATTATTTCCGACGATTATTATGTTATAAGAGATATGCAATATATAAAAAAATACAGATAATAGAAGACATTATTACATAAAAAATATAAATAAAACATATTAATTTTTTATTAAAATAAATACGACATATATGACATCTATTTACGTATGTATAATAAAAAGAAATCAATATGGATTAATATTTAAGAAGGTAGAAAAGATTATCAACTCTGTGCAGTATTATCGTATTTATTTTTCTGACAAAATTCTCTACGAGGACTAGAAATTCATTCTTTAACAAAAAGATATGTTTCTTTAATTCATTTATCTCTTTCACAAATTACTTTTACGTATATCCTATTTCTCTATATTGTAGCATTTTCAATGTACATATTTTATGTAAGAAAAATCGATACTCGAATGTAAAACATAGAATAGCCATTCTATAATAATTGTGTTAAAAATTTCGTCGATTATTGAGGTTTATCAATCACGGAAATTCTTGGAATGTAGCGCTTTAACACTTAGGTCGAAAACAGTCTATTCTCATTGCGCCTAATTATTCGCGCGGTGAGAGTGGAACGGGTCGGTTGAAATGGGCGGTCAACTCTCACAGCCAAGATCCTTGCAAAAGCTTTATCACGGAATTTCATACAAGTTGGAAAGTACATTTCATAAATTATATTATATTACGTGTCAATAATTGACTGCATGACAACGGCGTACATACGAATTACGGCGCATATCCGGTTTCACCAACATCGCTTAACTTTGAGCCTAGCTTCATTCGTTATGAAATAATGAAAATGGAACTACTATTATGAACGAGATTGTGCATTTCCATTCATTTTCCGAGCTTGTCATCCCGCTTTCCTTAAAATAAGATTGTATCTGTATTACGGAAAAGATCGGAGGGACAACGAACTGATGCTGCGATGGATTTAGGTCCGTGACTACGATTATGCTTGTTCTAAAATTCTACATGAATTCTAAAATGAAAGTTAAGCGTTTGGCGAAACCGGCCCTTTGTGTACAATTTATAGGAAATTGTTGAAACCGATCATTTGTTGCCGGTTCGCCGGACGTGTAAACCCTCCCTTCGCTACGCCGTGTATTGAAACAGAAACGCGGACGGCGTGCGAATGGGTATTAATCTCTGATCGCCGTAACGATCCAGCACGATGTAATAATCGCGCCCGTTAATGCTGTGCTTCTTTCCCGGGGCGATGTCGTATTGGACGTTCGGATGCGGCGGCCGCGTATTTATCTTCTTCAGATCGACCCGTTTGTAGAACAGCTGATTCTTGGCGGTGTACACCAGTCGCGGGGTCACGGAGTCCGGCGTATGTTTCCATTTGCAGCAGAACGCGCGATCGTTCCGTTTGCCGGTCTTCTGTCGTCGCTTGTGAGAGTTGACCGCCCATTTCACCGCTACCTCGAGGGCGAAGACCGCTATCGCGATTATATATCCGCCCACGACCACTTCGAACGTCAGGGACAGATCGGTGAACGACAATCGTCTCTCGGTGGACCGTAGATCCAGAGGGCATATCTGCGCGATTGGCAGATTCTTCAGTTTCTCGCGCTTTATTATACCGGACTCCACAAAGGTCATCAGTCTGAAACCAGGCTCAGTCTTTCATTAAAGGCCTGTCTACACGATGCTAGAACTTGGTCCAAGTTCTAGTTTCGAGAAATGTGTAGGCAATCAACTTGCAGCTATTCCATAAAAGTTGCAAGTTGATTAGTTACACAGCGCTCGGAACTGGAACTTGGACCAAGTACTAGCCTCGTGGACACGGGCCTTAAGATAACGGTTGAACTACACTACTCTCTTAGAGTCAATCAGTGGACTATTCACTGCTTTTCAGTGACGATCTACTGATTGACTTTAAGAGTAATATTCTCTAAAACCCTCCAAAGATACGCAAGCGTAATTAATTTTATTTTCACTCGGCCATTTATATCTCGAATCAAAGTGAATTTTTTGGAGCTGCGATTAGCTCTCTTAACACAAAAGTCCTTCGCTTACTCCTTATTAATCGGATTCTCCAGGGTAGAGTTCAGGGGGAAGGCGAACGCCTTGTTGGTCACGAGAATCGCGTTGGGCATAATAACGTATGTGCATCTCTTCTTGTGCTTCAGGTGCTGGCGGGTCTTGTTGATGTAATCCTCGAATACCAGACTCTGGAGGTAGTGGGTCTCCCCGATGAACAGTTTGTCTGCAGATCAACACGTCGCGTTTCTTTCTTATCCATTATTTACGCGTGTTCCCGAGATCTGACGGCCGGTGATACTCACTTCTCTCCACGGCGTTGAAAATAGCCTTAACCGGATACTCGTACGACGTGACGTAATGGCCCTTCCACCTCGTGATGTTTAAGGAACTTAGCTCCCCCGTGTCGTTGAACTGGGAAAGAAAGTCTTTTATTGATTATTTTCAAGTTTCACCGGTTGCGATAAAACTTGTTATTAGCGAGCAAACGTGGCCAGTGGCTATAAACGCGGTAACGCACAATCTGCCGTTCATCTCCGAATTTTATCTTGAAAGAGATTGAACGCGCGGCTCGCGAGAGGACTCACTTGAGAAAGCAAGAAGTCGAGCGTGCGCCCTTTATAAGTGACCCACTGGTAACCTTTGTGCACTATATCCTGCACGCTGTTGATCGGCAGGGTAAACTGCGGCCTCGTGAGAAACGCCGTGAGATTCGCCGTGTAGAAAGACGTCAGTATCAAAATAAATATCCACCACGTGGCGAACAGGATCCGTGTTGAGTCTGCAATCGGCGTAAATTAATTTCTCAAAGTTCGGTAGCGACAATAATATAATTTACTAGGATGCATTCATCGTTCTCGATTCATTGCGTAAAATAAAATAACGTCTTGACTGCCACGATAATCTGTGCACATAGACGGGTGTAGTTTCAGGTTCTTGCTTATCGTTTAATTTAAATTATTAATTGTTGGTTTAAATATTAGTTCAATTCAACATTATTGAATTGAACAACGCAGAATAGCGTAAGTCGCCGTGAGTCTTCAGGAAAGACAGTTTCCGGAAATACTTCAGGGACGTCGTTTGTGTACGTAAGATGTTTGTATACGTGGCAATCAGAATGTCACGAGGACGACGCTGCGGTGTCATACCTGTCGTCGCGATTATATTCGTCCCCTGTTTCAATAAGGAACCGTACACGAACCATACGCAGGCGAAGAAGGTGTAGTTCTCGGAGTCGGGCTCGTTCCACAACTTCGCCCTACGGGATATCGACCGTATTGAGAATCGGAGCGTAACGCACACACGTCTATAGACTTTTCTTTCCGACGAACCTGAACGTGGCGAAAATGTAGATTATGGGTCCTACGGTGACCACCGCGGCCAGCACCAACAACCAAACGGTTTGATCGAACGGCGCGAGCAGTCCCGAACCGGTCGCCGATTCTTGCGGTCTCTTCATCAATACCGTCAGCTCGCCTTGCTCCAGGGTTGTACTGAATGTGCAATACTTGCGCAACTCCGGCAAGATAGGCAGGAAGGCCACCGCCATGTCCACCTTCTGCTCGAACGAGAAAGAACATATCTGCGTTTCCGCTTTCTTACAATTTAAACGCCGATATTGTTCGTTAGTTTTTCCTCCGAACGAACATTCGACTTATTGAAAGGGACGTTAAAGTAATCCGTTAATTAATCAAGGACGGCTCCGTTAGCCTTCCTTGCAGGAAGAAACTGCCTCACCTTCTCGTAAAGCATACTTAATATTCCGTTTCGGCTGTTGCCCAGCACGTGCTGCTTAGGCGGCACGATCGTGTATGTGAAATTTAATTTCGAGCTGAGCAGCTCGAGCAAGTAAAACGCGTAGCCTTTTCCCACCCACTTTCCGTTCTCCTTCACTAATCCGGAAAACGGCATGTCCTGCAACAGTTTTGCATTTTCGCAATCAAGGTTCACGTAGCACGCGATAACAGAAGACTATGCTCTTTATGAGTTCACGAAATTATATTTAACAATGATCGTAATGAAGTTTGCCAACAAATAGAGTTAAATAGGACCATTACGATATAAATCCAACAAACGAGAGCGCCTTTAGGTCGAAGCAAGATGTTGCTAGCCTGATAATCTAAAATGTGAATTCATATAGAGACAGAACGAGGTGGAAAACGGTACACGAATTCGCATTTTAGATTCCAATTATTAAGCTACCAACATCTTCCTTGGACCTAAAGGCGCTCTCGTCTGTTGGAAATTTGCCAAGTTTTTACAAGGCGAAATGGACGAATGTTTCTTATAATATAAACGACAAAAAGAATTGTTAGACGACTTTAGGCTGGCAGATGGTTTATTTATTTAAATTCGACGTTTCGACCATGTGGGCTGCGATCCTTTTCAAGGAATTTAATAATCCACGAGTTTTCAAAGGACATTGCAGCTTGAAAGTGTATCGATTACAAACGAAATTAATTTCGTAAACCATCTGCCAGCCTAACGTCGTCTAACAGCTCTTTTTATCGTTACTTAACTACTGGCGATTCTTCTTTCGTTCTTGTAATATAAAGTTCATCCATTTACAAAGGTAAATTGTAAGTAATCATTGCTTAAAATAAATGCAATTATCTCTCGCGGTGGGGAGATTAACATCTGAGAACTGATTGTGCAGTGCGCACGCTCTTTTAGACAGTTGCGTACAGTGTCGTTATTCAACACTGACATTTAGATGATGTCTAAGCACCCTCAGCGGCTCTAATTACCCTTGCGCGTTCATTATCGCAGCGCCACGATCGTTCCGTGCGCGGCCAGTTGCGTACCCGCCTCGAACGTTTGTACATTTTAATGCTCGATACCGGGGGCTGCACGAACACGTTAATGAGTGCTATGAAGATTGCAAGATGCGCGACGTATATCGGGAGATATATAGTGGCAAACCTGACATAATATTTATTATTAGCCACGATACACTCGCGTAATACAACAGCCCTAACAGCTCGGTTACTCGATTAGCGTTCTTTGTTTACCGCGTCACGCAAAACACGCGACGCCGTTTTTGTCGGGGTGGTATTATCCAAGTTTCCCCGACCATACGCGCGGCCGCCGCAATAATTATCCGCTTATCCTCCCTGCACCGCGAATTCGAGATCTCTCGATGTCTTTTCAACGTCATTTTCAGAACGTTCTGTATTATAGAAATACGATTAATTGATAGATTATTAACTTTTGATATTATATCATATCACAGTGTTGGGATTTCAATACAATTTAATTTACAATAGCTTTTAACGTGGAAGCTGAGTAAATGGCTACGAAAATTACTTGTCTTATACGTACAAACATCAATGTATATATTTTATTTTTTTTTCTTTGCGAAAACCGTGCGTTCTGACCTACGAAAATAATTTATTCTTTTCCAATGGCCTGAAATTTTCTGTATTATTTAGAAGGATATGGTTACGTTCGGAAATAACGACATAATTACGATCGTGCAGACGGCAATTTTGTTGAAAATTACACTTGAGGATAGTGTATTTCAGAATTTACATTGGATACGATTCGCGTACAAGGCACGTGATGATTTTACACCATCGCGTGTTGTGTCTTTGCAGGTAATTCTAGGTTTTTCGCATGGCCTATATGAAAAAGGAGGGCATTTTGTCGGTGATCAATAAATCATGCGGCGGACTGTCATTTCGAACGTGACATGATGATAGGTATTTTTCTTTTTCGTCGTTGGCCGCTTTTTGCACGTTGTTCGTAATTTTCTCCTTCGAGAATACGTAGGCGGTTGAACAAAAAAAAATTAATTGATGCAAATTTAATTCCTTGATAATTCAACTTTGTAAAATTCGCGTACACCGAAGGGGGCAAGTTTAATTTTGATTAATGCGCCCAACGGCTCACGCAAGTGCAGCCGCGAACGATTATCGTGAAGGGAGTGCGTGAGTCCGTTTTATCGCACGGTGAAAGCTCTAGCTGCAAATATTTCTTCAGTTGAGAACGTTATGCCTGAAGTCATATCGTGACATTTGCTGTACACCCCTATCGCTCGTCATCGAGTGGACTCATAAAAATGCGCACTTAATGTCATCATGAAGGATACAGTAAAACAAAACAAATATCATGCCACGTGTATCTTCACTATCGTGTATGAGGTGTTTCACAGTACACTTATGCACAACGCATCCGCATTATCGTTGAAAAAGATATGAATCCATTTTTAATTCGTAGCTCATCAGTATGACTCATTGCTATTATAATATTTACTTAACAAATTCGATCAATCGATCCGCGATGCAGTTTTGCGCTGAAATATCTTTGGCTGCAAGTTTAGGCTTACGAATGGGCCGAATATATTATACATTAACCCGGTAAATTATTCTGTTCAATTGGTTAAGCGCGACAGTATTTTCCAAATCTTTTCGGAGAATTTTAATATGTACTGCGTCAAGTCGGTCTCTCTTGTGTATTATGTATCGAATATTTCGGCGCTGCCTTCCCTTCGTTAAACGGTGACCAACTAAACGTCATTTTGTCCCCGGGCAAAGTAAACCTTGATTATTCTGATTGTACGTATACGCGACGAAATGTGTTTTTTTACTTTAATCATATGCGGTGTATTTGTAACTATTATACTCACGTTCCAAGACGTTATTTTCATTTCTGCGGGAATCGTTGGCTCTATGGGACTTTCGTCGGCTGTCGTATCATCTGAAAGCATAATATTGCCTTTCGTAATTAACATTAATGACACGTCAAACTACAGGTGACGCGTTCAATCAAGCTTGACAACAGAGAGTGCTTGTTTCTCGTATGTTAACAGCAGGGTTGGGAAGTGACTCGTTACTTGTAACGAAGTTGCAGTTACAGTTACTTTTTTAGTAACTCTAACTTAACTTCGTTACTTCCTCTCCATCTGTAACTCAGTTACATTTTTTCGATAACTAGTAACTAATTTAATAGTTACATTAATAGTTACTTTATATATTTGTTAAACCTCTACAGATCGCATTAGATCTTGCATTTGCGCATAAACGCCTTTATCGACACTTAATGATTCAAACGCAGAGTTGATATTTTTATTGTAAGAAAGTAACTGCAAAGTAACGAATCGTTACTTTTTGAGTAACTGTAACGCGTTGCTTTTTAAAATTGGTAACTTGTAACTGTAACCAGTTTACATTTTTAGCAAAAAAAAACTGTAACTGTAACTAGATACTTTTATAAAGTAACTTGTCCAACTCTGGTTAACAGATTACAGTTCTAATACAGTTAAGTAACACACCAATTGGTATTATCAACGTCGAGAGAGGAAAAGTAAATAATTAACTTTCTTATTTAGAAAAGAATAATATGAAACGCTCTCTATTTGTTATCGACTTAATTTCTGTATCATTGCATTCATTTTTATATCTTCGTCACACATTCTTAGGCCGGTATTCATAGTCAGATCTTGTATTCAAGACCGTCTTGAACTTATCTAAAGATGCTGCATGGAACATTTCATTGGCTACAAAGAACTTGAAGATGATCTTAAGACGATCTTAGATATAAGATGATCGAGGGGTAAACCGCTGACAAAAATCATGTACACCAATGCTGACTAATGCTCAATGGCCATTACTTTATCTTGTTATCTTATTTTATCTTGTTTTATCTTTCTTACCTTTTTAGATTCTTTATAATGTCTCAGCAAGACCAAGTAATACCCACTAATGCCCTAAAAAATGCCGAGTAATGCCTACACGGAGAGAATTTTCTCTTAAAATTTACCCTGAAAGCCATGGCATTTTAAAGAACTGTAGAGGGGTTTGTTGAAATTTTACCATACATCTCTACTAGTAAAATGTATACCAAGGGCCAGTTTCACAAACGTCGGTTAACTGTTAACCAGATTTCAGTCAACTCTCTATCTTTTTCCGTCTTATTATTTAAGAAGAGACGGAGAATCAATTAACCTTTGGTTACCAGTTAACCGATGTTTGTGAAACTGGCCCTAAGTATATAATTACCAGAATATGTATGGTAAAATTTTAAACAACTCTCATAAAATTCTTTAAAGTGCCATATTGTCCCACGATTTCATAAATTTCGAGGTGAATTTTAAGAAAAAATTCTCTCCGAAATCTGTACACCACAATGCCCGCTGAGGGCATTAAACCGCTGAGGTTTACCCCTCGGATCTGACTGCGAATACCCTTAGCTTCGGCAAGATTACAAAGACTAAACGTGAACTTTAATGAAGGCCGATCGACTAATTAGCTTACTTGTTCCGTAGGTGATACAACACATCGCGAATATGAACGTGCCGAGTGAAAGCTGTTGGAAGCTGCGCATCCTTCGACAGTATCTCCGACACTACATCTTATCCGCGCGCATCTTCATCGTCGGATCCTCCCGTGGCGCTCCTCCGGCCGGAAATGCTTCGTGCGACGCGGCATAACCAGCAACCAGGTAAATCGATACTGACACTCCGGTCATCCCGACCCGGACGGCGGCAACGTAGTGACGAGCCGCTTTATGTCAGCGTGTCACGCGACCGTCGAAAGTGCCCAAAGGGGGGAAAAGGGCCGACGGCGAGACCCCGACGACGTTCGCGCGCGGGCGCCGACCTGCATCCTACGGTTATCTTTTCAGAGATTTCACTGGTTCAACTGGCCGTTCGCTCCTTTTCGACCGAAACGCGCGTCACTCTTGCCTCCGTTGATCGTAAAAATCAGATGTGACGATTTTGATAATCAGGCGCGCACATACAGCTTACTTGTTTTTAACGGCGTATGCGTGACACCGGATGATGTATGCCACATCTTATATATCGCGCACGCGGTTGACAAGCTGAGAATTTTGGAAAATCGGTGTGTTCCCCGTTTATTAGGATTATTACACTCCTCGCGAAATCGTGGATTTTTTTAAGACGGCCAAGTTTTTAGAACATTTTAAGTACACGTGAGAGCTGTGCGTTTCGAAAACTTTGTGTCAAAAAGTCACGAGATACCTATCTATCCTATGAAATTGATTAATGGTGTATCTCCTTTGAAACTGTTTGCGCGTGAAATACGGATGAATATCCATCGAGAGACGACAATGGGATGACAGAGAAAGAAGCGGAATTTTCTTTAGTATCTGATTGCGATACCGAGTGATTGATTGGCAACATTAAATATGGCTAGAGAAATAGACACGTGTACCGTTTTGTCACGCAAGTTATATCTAATATTTCACACAATTTATCTATCGCAATGCCATCTTGTTCTTTAACCGACTACGGGAATTATCAGATCCGACCTCGAAGCGGCGGGCAAACGCGAGAAAGACGGACGATTTCAAGTCGATCAAGCTTTTATTAGCCGTCTCTTCGTTTGAGTCATCGATCGCGCAAACCGGAATCTTACGTGGCTCGCAATTATTTGTCCATTTTCTCGCCGTATGAAAAATTTCTAATGCTTACAATAACGTATGGTAACCAGAACGGCGCTCTTTATATTCCCGAGATAAACCGAAAGATTAATGTTCGCGGACGTTCGCGGATGTGGAGTCCTCGCGAGGGTTGTACGTTACATCAGTCGGCACGAAGGTTGCATTAGACGTGCGCGATCAATATACGCACCATTAGTAACATTAAGCAAGTAATCGTGCGAATCATCCGTCAGAGGAAATTAATAGTGATATTATTAATAGGACGTGCGCGCATTCCGTGCGTATAAAAGTGCAACGCCAAGTAGAATTGAGATCATTGAGATTAATCGTCCTCGCGGTCTCTCCCGAATGCTGTACTGGAAATTGGAACGGAGGTGCGTGGGCGGGTTGGAACAGAGAACAGTTTTATTCCTGGGAACGATTTCCATTGTTTACCGTTTAAGTTGAAGTACATCTCAATATACAAATCACATCGCCTGTGTGCCCTACGAAGTAGTAGTTATATATCGCCGCTCCTCTCGCCGGAGCGTCTGAGTTGTCTCGCGTTCGCAACCGCGGCGAAAGGGCTTGCCGCGTGCACACACACACACGCACACACACACACACACACTCTCTCTCTCTGTCTCTCGCTCTCTTTCTCTCTCTCCGTACTGAAGGACCGAGACATCGACGAAGAACCGTATAAACGGTCGATCGGCAGACAATACCGGGGAATATCGGAAACGGATATTCGATTTTATACCACGCGTATCTCGTTTCGCATCAATCACGCTCTGTCCGAATATCCCTCTCCACAGCCGTCGGTAGACTCGGGGCTACCTAGCGTCTGCTCGATTCTTCGCACGTACACATCTGTCTTCTGATATTGGTCGGTCGATATAGTTGATTACCTTACAGTGCGCTATCGCAGCTTTTTATCCTTCGTCGTTCCGTACGTCGGATCTCGCCGTCTTCATCATCCCTCGGCCCTCACTCGTCTCCGCTATATTACAGTCGTCGCGCGGGGGAGATCGCCGAAATTATTAACGAAAAGGGCGGGAGAGGAGGGAAAGTGGTGCGAAAGTAGAACGCGCGGAAAGCGCGGCCGGAGTGCGCGCGAGCAAGCTTCGGCAGCAACGCTAGCGATGTATAAATCACATCTCGTTATGACGGTGACACACGGGGTGACGGGGGATGAGGAATGATAGAAATGATCGTGACGGCGCTAACACGGCAAATGGAACATAATAATCTCGATGATGATTCAATAATAAACGATTACGATAATTGGCATCTAATCAATAACCTACGACCTTGGCGGTTATAATCACCTTGTCGCGTTATTCAATGAGAGATCTGGCGACGAGTAAGCGGGGAGCGCGCGGGTGGATGGACATTATGACTGATGCAGAGAACATTCGGCGAACTGTAAATTCGAAAAAGACAGACATACATTAAACAACATTGCTACGTGTACTCACGGTTTCCGATTGAGGAATTCTACGGCGACGGGACAATTTCCCGAATTTCTTTTCCGCACCTTCGGGACGATTACGCGCGCGCGATAGACAATTATGCGTGAGAAAATTGGCGCGCGATCACGCGTTACTTTCCGCCACGCATAATTTTCGGCGCAGGGCGCACTCGGTTCTTGTTTTTCGAATTTGTCTTGTTACCGAACTTCCCTCGCGAGAGGGAACGGGATGGACTGCGTCAACTTACTCCGGATTGTGGCTGTCCCTCGCGAGTTTGTAGACCGGATACGGACAGAGGAAGGAGATTCGGTTAATCGGGATAAGCGCTAAAACAAATTCGGTGGTAAAGCATAACGGTGTATACTTCGGAATGAAACGTGCTCTTACGCTAGATATGCGTGACGAGGTAAATGGCATGCGGTTTAGAGATCACTCAATACGTAAAACGAAAAGTCAGCACTGTCGGTGGGAAACGAATCGACGTATTAACGCGAAAACTTCTCGTGCGAATGATCACAGTTTTTCTGCCTCGCGATGCTTTCGTGTCACGGGGCGCCTGGATTATTTATCTCAGCTTTTCCCTCCTTCGACAGTGCGCTTATTCATCTCGTTCACTTCCTCCTTTTTCCTTTCGTGCGCTCGGACCTAAGATTGGCCGCCAAATAAATCAGATTTCGGCTTGTATTCATTTATTATCGTATACGTATTCACACCCTCTCTCATTAAAATTATTCTTTACTACATACACTTGTATTATCGAAAACGTAAATGCCTTTCGAGGTAGGACGGCGGACTCGTGGTCTTCCCGGTGCTTCTCAGTGAGCGATACGAGATCGAAAGGAGCGCTTTAAGTACGCAAGGTTTGAGAATTGAAGGTAACGCAATGATGACAACAGGTCCTCTAAATGCGTCAATTTTAGTGGAAGGATAAACATCATAAAAACGACATCTAAAAGAATATTACACGGGAAGAGAATTTTCTCTTAAAATTTATCCTGAAAATCGTGTGATCGTGGGACAACGTGGCATTTTCAACAACTTTACGAGAGTTTTTTGAAAGTATACCATCCATTTTACCAGTAACATCCCACATAG